TTACAAGGGGAGGGCCAACATATGTTCTCTCCGATTTTAATGAGCTTGATATATGTTGCAATACTACACCTCCCTTAATAATAGGTAAAACCATTCGACCATACGCTCAAGCATTCGCGAGATATTTTGTGAGCGACTCGGTACATACGCATGTGGAAAAATTTTAAATAAATTTTTCTCGCGAATGCTTGAGCGTATGGTCGAATGGTTTTACCTATTATTAAGGGAGGTGTAGTTGTGCAACATATATCAAGCTCATTAAAATCGGAGAGAACATATGTTGGCCCTCCCCTTGTTAGTGCATTCCGATTACCTAGTATACAAAGTACATTATTTTATTTGATACAGTTTGTGCAGTAACGATTGTCACCTTAAGAATGACTTCGTTTCCAGACCAGCAATAAACGTAAATTTGAATAAACATTCCAATGGTGTAGACTAAATAAGTCACAGCTTCAGACGGATTAGCAATATGTGTTGACATATAATATACACTGGTACATAATATCAGTATACTTCCAAAGAATTGGACGAAAAGCACTTGATTGAATATAACGTTTACCATTTTGGCATATCTGCAATGAGGTCATGTTAATCTTACGTTACATATACGTAAAGAATTACTTTAAAGTAAAAAGTAATAGAGTTACAAGCTTGAAATATAACTTTATGACGTAATTGGTAGTATTTCAAAAATTGCAGCAACATTTTAAAACATATCAGTTTTGAAACAAAAGCTACTTGATTCAGAGCAAGCATTTATATTAATTTTTACTTGAAGTTTTGTTCAACTTTTTATAGAAAGATTATATAACAACGTCATGCTGAGAATACATTTTTGAGCTTGCAACAAAATGTCAATTTTAAATAACGTCAGTTATATTATATTTAAACTTAAAATACTTATCTATCGTAACACTTTAATACTTAGCATTATAAAAAATAGCGATGTTTAAATATAGAAATTAATTTATGTATTCAAATACGCAACCAATCATATACGTACATAAATAGTAGGTATTTGAATATACGCATATAGACGGTTCTTTATGTAACTCACTTATAAATGCTGAGATGATGATGTACGCACTGCGATATTTCCATTTTATTTTCATTCGATGAAAAGATTGGATGTTCTAAATACCTAACTGTTCTATTAATTACTAATTTGTGAAGACGACTTTCTAAAATTTCAAGCTGAGCACATGTTTGCAAAAACAATCCGAAGACTAAGGTTTCCGTGCCCACATTTATCATAGTGGCAAAAATTAGAGTTATAATCTGATGAATAGATATAATCCAGAACACTATAGGTATATTGAAATTGAATGGCAGCCATATTCGAAATGGCAATTGACCTTGCATCATATTTAGAATCGATCCTATTGTGACACCTGTACAGGAGGTTGTCGCCATAAGTGAGTATTTTATTGAATATGATCTGTACATACAGAAAGAAGATATCTTTCATTCATTTACGATAATAAAAATTCTCTCGTAAATCTTGTAAATGTAACGAAAATATGCGTAAGTTTATGACAGAATTTAATTATTTTGCGGATGGGTATCTGTGTATAATACAGTTTTAAAATAATAGGTATATGTGAGTTTATATAATTTACAAACATTTTTAATTCAATATAATATGAGCAATTATTAAGTTTCGAAATTTATGTGACAATCTCATACAGCACGCATGTCTAAAAAACATCTTTAAGACATCCGTGTTGTCTGGGAATGAAAAATCTGATGTACAAAATGAACAAAGTCCATCAATTACTAAAGGCTCTGAAGAAAACGCTAAAAATATAACATTTAACATGTTTAATTGGATCCAGGAGAATCAGAAATAATATATAGTATGTGAATCAAATTATTTTGACATTTTGTGCAAGTTAGATTAATGTTTTGTCATAAAATTTTTCTAATTAATTATACATACCTGATAAACTTATCAAACTTTGTTTGTATCGTTGCTTCATCCTCGTTACGAGGTTTACACGGTGTTTTCAACAATACTTGTACCAAATTGATGATCGCATTTCGTCGCAATACAACGACTGTCGCTTTGCAACATACAGCAACAATAGTCAGGAACATTAGAGTATTAGTGGCAAAATCATCAATATTGTCGACAACAAGAACTATATCCATAAATTGTGTTATCACCAAAAAATACTCTGAGAATATTACAATAAAAGTAAATATATTATACAATAGTTTTGCTACATTTGAAGACCACTCAATAGGTTGCCATATACCACAAAGTGTATATATAAAGAAATTTAGAGTGAGTATTTGCATATTTGAATCTCTTTCTTTACAAACTCATCAATGTGATACACAAAGGTGTAGGTTCTTTCTACATGTAAAAAGTACTTAGAAAGTATCTTAAAGCAGTGAATATCCAATTAAATATTCAGAAGATAATTGTAAGAGGAAACGAATTTGATACGAAAAGTAGTTTCACCAAATTAATTATGTTATTAGTACATTCCACAAATTAATGTTTAAATCTCACAAGTAAAACTACATGTAAATGTCAGCGATAGATTTTATTCACTTTGCACGAAGATTGCATATAATTATCTCGGTTTAATAATCGGATGACCTTAAGTAACCGTAATGTAATAGGCTATTCGTGTGAACCCAATTAGAAAACAGTATTTATAGATGTCTATCGCGCACTTGTATCAGAACATCGTTTCTTACAATTTTACTTTTTAACAATACAATAGAATTAACAAATATTACAGATACAACATGTTTCGCTGTTATGAATATCAATAAATTTTATTTAAATGTAACCGAGCACATCTTGTGATGGAATAAGTATAGTTTTACATACTTCAACTGCTTACCTCAGTATCATTAATAAGGGTCATTAAAAAATCGACATCGAGTCGTTTAGATATTCATTACGCAATACTCGTCCCTTTCCACTTCCTATTCCGTTCCTATGAAGACTATAATTGTGAAAATTTTCCTGCTTACACTAGTCGAGGGATATTATCTTTTACAGACGCATACATGTTGTTATTCTCATCGAATAAAGTTTTTCTTTATCTTCTTTACTGTGTGGCAGACCGTATATCTCACAGAGCTAGTCAATTTTTTTGTTGCATAAAATACGAGATAATGTAACGTTAACAGCAATGTTAAAATATTTACACATTTTCTAAGTTAATTACTGCTCGACTTGCTATACCGACTACAAATATACAAAATGACTATAGGTCAACTCTGTGTACAATATGTTAGATGTGACGTAAAAACTGAGAAATTTCTTTTCGTTTTACTCCATGCTGAAGCTAAAATTAGTTGTGCATGAAATAAACTGTTGCATTATATTACAGTATACAAAAATATATGTATATATATAAATATGTGTGGATTAGTGCCAGTATTCGTAGAATCGTAATACAGAATAAGGTTAATTAAAATAAATTCGTACATAATTATTTTAGGATTTACTAACTAATTTATGACAAACTACACAATTATCATGCCTAAGTACACTTATAATTATTTATATTTCACTTTTGAAGTACATTGAATGCTGTGTACGACATTCTTAAGATCTGAAATCAGATATATGTAGAATAAAGTTATGAAATTTTGATTGTGTTTCTCAACTAAATTTTCGTCATAAATGTGTCAACGAGATTACTAACATTGCTGTAAGATTGAAGAGACAGAGTTATTAAGAAGCTGCTAGTGAATTTTATAGGAATTGTACTCCGTAACATGATTATCAACAATTCTTTTCTTTCGTTAACTGATAGTAGTGGCCAATCCATGCAGTATAAAGCATTTCCCACATTCATACTCTGTTAACATGACATAAATAATTTTATCACTTCTGAAGAATACCGAATATTTATTATCAATATTGTTAGCATTATTTATTGTTATATACATATTGTTACACGCTGATACGACTCTTAGGATTGAGCCAAATCGAGTTACGATCGTGAAGAAGTCGAAAAATAATTTGATAATGAGTCGCTGTTGTTAAATAGTTGCTATTGCCAAGAAGATTGATAGACCATCAAGCCACGCAGTCGTATTGTCTTTCCTTTTTGTTGTCTTTGTCTGATAATAAAATTCTTTCCAACGAGTCGAGTATGGCTAGTCCTAAGAGTGCAAGCATGGACTTGCGAGGGAGCAAACAGTGCGCGGCAGACAAACGTTTCCCGAATGTAACGATATGCATATATGTGCATATACATATATGTATGTACATGCATATAAGTATATATGAAAATTTATATACACATACATGTAGATTAGTTTTAAATCTTGTAAAAGAATTGAGTCATATAAAAATACTAGTGCATTCCGATTACCTAGTATACAAAGTACATTATTTTAATTGATACAGTTTGTGCAGTAACGATTGTCACCTTAAGAATGACTTCGTTTCCAGACCAGCAATAAATGTAAATTTGTATAAACATTCCAATGGTGTAGACTAAATAAGTCACAGCTTCAGACGGGTTAGCAATATGTGTTGACATATAATACACACTGGTACATAATATCAGTATACTTCCAAAGAATTGGACGAAAAGCACTTGATTGAATATAACGTTTACCATTTTGGCATATCTGCAATGAGGTCATGTTAATCTTACGTTACATATACGTAAAGAATTACTTTAAAGTAAAAAGTAATAGAATTACGAGCTTGAAATATAACTTTATAACGTAATTGGTAGTATTTTAAAAATTACAGTAACATTTTAAAACATATCAGTTTTGAAACAAAAGCTACTTGATTCACAGCAAGCATTTATATTAATTTTTACTTCAAGTCTTGTTATAGAAAGATTATATAATAAAGTCATGCTGAGAATACGTTTTTGAGCTTGCAACAAACTGTGAATTTTAAATAACGTCAGTTATATTATATTTAAACTTAAAATACTTCTCTATCGTAAAACTTTAATAATTAGCATTATAAAAATAGCGATGTTTAAATATAGAAATTAATTTATGTATTAATATACGCAACCAATCATACACGTACACATATAGTAGGTATTTGAATATACGCATATGGACGGTTCTTTATGTAACTCACTTATAAATGCTGAGATGATGATGTACGCATTGCGATATTTCCATTTTATTTTCCTTCGATGAAGAGATTGGATGTTCTAAATATCTAACTGTTTTATTAATTACTAATTTGTGAAGACGACTTTCTAAAATTTCAAGCTGCGCACATGTTTGCAAAAACAATCCGAACACTAAAGTTTCCGAGCCCACATCTATCACAGCTGCGAAAATTACAGTTATAATCTGATGAATAGATATAATCCAGAACACTATAGGTATATTGAAATTGAATGGCAGCCATATTCGATAAGGCAAGTGTCCTTGCATCATATTTAGAATCGATCCTATTGTGACACCTGTACAGGAGGTTGTCACCATAAGTCCGTATTTTATTGAATATGATCTGTACATACAGAAAGAAGATATCTTTCAGTCATTTACGATAATAAAAATTCTCTCGTAAATCTTGTAAATGTAACGAAAATTTGCGTAAGTTTATGACAGAATTTAATTATTTTGCGGATGTGTATTTGTGTACAATACAGTTTTAAAATAATAGGTATATGTGAGTTTAATTTACAAAAACATTTTTTAGCTCAATATAATATAAGCAATTATTAAGTTCCGAAATACAGCACGCATGTCTAAAAGACATCTTTAAGACATACGTGTTGTCTGGGAATGTACAAAATGAACAAAGTCCAACAATTACTAAAGGCTCTGAAGAAAACGCTAAAAATATAACATTTAGCATGTTTAATTGGATCCAGGAGAAGCAGAAATAATATATAGTGTGGATCAAATTATTTTGACATTTTGTGCAAGTTAGATTAATGTTTTGTCATAAAATTTTTTAATTTAATTATATATACCTGATAAACTTATCAAACTTTGTTTGTATCGATGCTTCATCTTCGTTACGAGGTTTACACGGTGTTTTCAACAATACTTGTACCAAATTGATGATTGCATTTCGTCGCACTACAACGACTGTCGCTTTGCAACATGCAGCAACAATAGTCAGGAACATTAGAGTATTAGTGGCAAAATCATCAATATTGTCGACAACAAGAACTATATCCATAAATTGTGTTAACGCCAAAAAATACTCTGAGAATATTACAATAAAAGTAAATATATTATACAATAGTTTTGCTACATTTGAAGACCACTCAATAGGTTGCCATATACCACAAAGTGTATATAGAAAGAAATTTAGAGTGAATATTTGCATATTTGGATCTCTTTTTTTACAAACTCATCAATGTAATACACAAAGGTGTAGGTTCTTTCTACATGTAAAAGTATTTAGAAAGTATCTTAAACCAGTGAATATTCAATTAAATATTCAGGAGATAATTGTAAGAGGAAACGAATTTGATACGAAAAGTAGTTTCACCAAATTACTTATGCTATTAGTACATTCCACAAATAAATGTTTAAATCTCACATGTAAAACTACATGTAAATGTCAGCGATAGATTTTATTCACTTTGCACGAAGATTGCATATAATTATTATCTCGGTTTAATAATCGGATGACCTTAAGTAACCGTAATGTAATAGGCTATTCGTATGAACCCAATTAGAAAACAGTATTTATAGATGTCTATCGCGCACTTGTATCAGAACATCGTTTCTTACAATTTTGCTTTTTAACAATACAATAGAATTAACAAATATTACAGATACAACATGTTTTGCTGTCATGGATATCAATAACTTTTATTTAAATGTAACCGAGCACATCTTGTGATGGAGTAAGTATAGTTTTACATACTTCAACTGCTTACCTCAGTATCATTAATAAGGGTCATTAAAAAATCAACATCGAGTCGTTTAGATATTTATTACGCAATACTCGTCCCTTTCCACTTCGTATTCCGCTCCTATGAAGACTATAATTGTGAAAATTTCCCTGCTTATACTAGTCGAGGGATATTATTTTTTACAGACGTGTACATGTTGTTATTCTCATCGAATGTTTTTCTTTATCTTCTTTATTGTGTAGCAGACTGTATATCTCACAGAGCTAGTCAATTTTTTTGTTACATAAAATACGAGATAATGTAGCGTTAACAGCAATGTTAAAATATTTACACATTTTCTAAGTTAATTGCTGCACGACTTGCTATACCGACTATAAATATACAGAATGACTATACGTCAACTCTGTGTGCAATATGTTACATGTAACGTGAAAACTGAGAAACTTCTTTTCCTTGACTCCATGCTGAAGCTAAAATTAGTTGTGCATGAAATAAACTGTTGCATTATACTACAGTATAAAAAAAATATATATATAAATATGTGTGGATTAGTGCCAGTATTCTTAGAATCGTAATACAGAATAAGGTTAAAATAAATGCGTACATAAATATTTTAGAATTTACTAACTAATTTATGACAAACTACACAATTATCATGCCTAAGTACACTTATAATTATTTATATTTCACTTTTGAAGTACATTGAATGCTGTGTACGACATTCTTAAGATCTGAAATCAGAAATATGTAGAATAAAGTTATGAAATTTTGATTGTTTCTCAACTAAATTTTCGTCATAAATGTGTCAACGAGATTACTAACATTGCTGTAAGATTGAAGAGACAGTGTTATTAAGAAGCTGCTAGTGAATTTTATAGGAATTGTACTCCGTAACATGATTATCAACAATTCTTTTCTTTCGTTAAATGATAGTAGTGGCCAATCCATGCAGTATAAAGCATTTCCCACATTCGTACTCTGTTAATATGACATAAATAATTTTATCACTTCTGAAGAATACCGAATATTTATTATTAATATTTATCAATATTGTTATCATTATTTATTGTTATATACATATTGTTACACGCTGATACGACTCTTAGGATTGAGCCAAATCGAGTTACGATCGTGAAGAAGTCGAAAAATAATTTGATAATGAGTCGCTGTTGTTAAATAGTTGCTATTGCCAAGAAGATTGATAGACCATCAAGCCACGCAGTCGTATTGTCTTTACTTTCTGTTGTCTTTGTCTGATAATAAAATTCTTTCCAACGAGTCGAGTATGGCTAGTCCTAAGAGTGCAAGCATGGACGTGCGAGGGAGCAAACAGTGCGCGGCAGACAAACGTTTCCCGAATGTAACGATATGCATATATGTGCATATACATATATGTATGTACATGCATATAAGTATATATGAAAATTTATATACACATACATGTAGATTAGTTTTAAATCTTGTAAAAGAATTGAGTCATATAAAAATACTAGTGCATTCCGATTACCTAGTATACAAAGTACATTATTTTAATTGATACAGTTTGTGCAGTAACGATTGTCACCTTAAGAATGACTTCGTTTCCAGACCAGCAATAAATGTAAATTTGTATAAACATTGCAATGGTGTAGACTAAATAAGTCACAGCTTCAGACGGGTTAGAAATATGTGTTGACATATAATACACACTGGTACATAATATCAGTATACTTCCAAAGAATTGGACGAATAGCACTTGATTGAATATAACGTTTACCATTTTGGCATATCTGCAATGAGGTCATGTTAATCTTACGTTACATATACGTAAAGAATTACTTTAAAGTAAAAAGTAATAGAATTACGAGCTTGAAACATAACTTTATAACGTAATTGGTAGTATTTTAAAAGTTACAGTAACATTTTAAAACATATCAGTTTTGAAACAAAAGCTACTTGATTCAGAGCAAGCATTTATATTAATTTTTACTTCAAGTTTTGTTCAACTTTTTATAGAAAGATTATATAACAACGTCATGCTGAGAATATATTTTTGAGCTTGCAACAAAATGTCAATTTTAAATAACGTCAGTTATATTATATTTAAACTTAAAATACTTATCTATCGTAACACTTTAATAATTAGCATTATAAAAATAGCGATTTTTAAATATAGAAATTAATTTATGTATTAATATACGCAACCAATCATACACGTACACATATAGTAGGTATTTGAATATACGCATATGGACGGTTCTTTATGTAACTCACTTATAAATGCTGAGATGATGATGTACGCACTGCGATATTTCCATTTTATTTTCATTCGATGAAGAGATTGGATGTTCTAAATATCTAACTGTTCTATTAATTACTAATTTGTGAAGACGACTTTCTAAAATTTCAAGCTGCGCACATGTTTGCAAAAACAATCCGAACACTAAAGTTTCCGAGCCCACATTTATCACAGCTGCGAAAATTAGAGTTATAATCTGATGAATAGATATAATCCAGAACACTATAGGTATATTGAAATTGAATGGCAGCCATATTCGTAAAGGCAAGTGTCCTTGCATCATATTTAGAATCGATCCTATTGTGACACCTGTACAGGAGGTTGTCACCATAAGTGCGTATTTTATTGAATATGATCTGTACATACAGAAAGAAGATATCTTTCATTCATTTACGATAATAAAAATTCTCTCGTAAATCTTGTAAATGTAACGAAAATTTGCGTAAGTTTATGACAGAATTTAATTATTTTGCGGATGGGTATCTATGTATAATACAGTTTTAAAATAATAGGTATATGTGAGTTTAATTTACAAAAACATTTTTTAACTCAATATAATATAAGCAATTATTAAGTTTCGAAATACAGCACGCATGTCTAAAAGACATCTTTAAGACATACGTGTTGTCTGGGAATATACAAAATGAACAAAGTCCAACAATTACTGCAAGTTAGAATAACGTTTTGTCATAAAATTTTTCTAATTAATTATACATACCTGATAAACTTATCAAACTTTGTTTGTATTGTTGCTTCATCCTCGTTACGAGGTTTACACGGTGTTTTCAACAATACTTGTACCAAATTGATGATTGCATTTCGTCGCACTACAACGACTGTCGCTTTGCAACATACAGCAACAATAGTCAGGAACATTAGAGTATTAGTGGCAAAATCATCAATATTGTCGACAACAAGAACTATATCCATAAATTGTGTTAACACCAAAAAATACTCTGAGAATATTACATTAAAAGTAAATATATTATACAATAGTTTTGCTACATTTGAAGACCACTCAATAGGTTGCCATATACCACAAAGTGTATATATAAAGAAATTTAGAGTGAATATTTGCATATTTGGATCTTTTTTTGTACAAACTCATCAATGTGATACACAAAGGTGTAGGTTCTTTCTACATGTAAAAAGTATTTAGAAAGTATCTTAAATCAGTGAATATCCAATTAAATATTCAGAAGATAATTGTAAGAGGAAACGAATTTGATACGAAAAGTAGTTTCACCAAATTACTTATGCTATTAGTACATTCCACAAATAAATGTTTAAATCTCACATGTAAAACTACATGTAAATGTCAGCGATAGATTTTATTCACTTTGCACGAAGATTGCATATAATTATTATCTCGGTTTAATAATCGGATGACCTTAAGTAACCGTAATGTAATAGGCTATTCGTATGAACCCAATTAGAAAACAGTATTTATAGATGTCTATCGCGCACTTGTATCAGAACATCGTTTCTTACAATTTTGCTTTTTAACAATACAATAGAATTAACAAATATTACAACATGTTTCGCTGTCATGGATATCAATAACTTTTATTTAAATGTAACCGAGCACATCTTGTGATGGAGTAAGTATAGTTTTACATACTTCAACTGCTTACCTCGGTATCATTAATAAGGGTCATTAAAAAATCGACATCGAGTCGTTTAGATATTCATTACGCAATACTCGTCCCTTTCCACTTCCTTGTCCGCTCCTATGAAGACTATAATTGTGAAAATTTTCCTGCTTATAATAGTCGAGGGATATTATTTTTTACAGACGCATGTTATTATTCTCATCGAATTTCTTTATCTTCTTTATTGTGTGGCAGACCGTATATCTCATAGAGCCTTTTTTTGTTTCATAAAATACGAGATAATGTAGCATTAACAGCAATGTTAAAATATTTACACATTTTCTAAGTTAATTGCTGCTCGACTTGCTATACCGACTACAAATATACAGAATGACTATACGTCAACTCTGTGTGCAATATGTTAGATCTGACGTAAAAACTGAGCAATTTCTTTTCCTTGACTCCATGCTGAAGCCAAAATTAGCTGTGCATGAAATAAACTGTTGCATTATATTGCAGTATGTAATATATGTATATATAGATATATTAATATGTGTAGATTAGTGCCAGTATTCTTAGAATCGTAATAAAGACTAAGGTTAAAATAAATGTGTAAACAGATATTTCAGGGTTTACTGACTAATTTATGAAAAACTACACAATTTACATGCCTAAGTACACTTCTGATTATTTATATTTCACTTTTGAAGTACGTTGAATGCTGAGTACGACGTTCTTAAGATCTGAAATCAGAAATATGTAGAATAAAGTTATGAAATTTTTATTGTGCTTCCCAACAAAATTTTCGTCATAAATGCGTCAACAAGATTACTAACATTGCTGAAAGACTGAAGAGACAGAGTTATCAAGAAGCTGCTAGTGAACTTTATAGGAATTGTACTCCGTATCATGATTATCAACAATTCTTTTCTTTCGTTAACTGATAATAGTGGCCAGTCCATGCAATATATAGCACTTCCCACATTCGCACTCTGCTAACATAACATAAATAATTTTATCATTTTTTAAGAATACCGAATATTTATTATTAATGTTTATCAATCTTGTTAGCATGATTTATACATATTGTTACGCGCTGATACGACTCTTAGGATTGAGCCAAATCGAGTTACGATCGTGAAGAATTCGAAAAATAATTTGATAACAAGTCGCTGTTGTTAAATAGTTGCTATTGCTAAGAAGATTGATAGACCATCAAGCCACGCAGTCATATTGTCTTTCCTTTCTGTTGTCTTTGTCTGATAATAAAATTCTTTTCAACGAGTCGAGTATGGCTATTCCGAAGAGCGCAAGCATGGACGTGCGAGTGAGCAAACAGTGTACGACAGACAAACGTTTCCCGGACGTAACGATATGCATATATGTGCATATACATATATGTACATGTATATAAGCATATATGAAAGTTTATATACACATACATGTGGATTAGTTTTAAATCTTGTAAAAAAATTGCGTCATATAAAAATCCTAGTGCATTTCCGTTTCCTAGTATACAAAGTACATAATTTTAATTGGTACAGATTTTGCAGTAACGATTGTTACCTTAAGAATGACTTCGTTTCCAGACCAGCAATAAACGTAAATTTGTATAAACATTCCAATGGTGTATACTAAAAAAGTCACAGTCCCAGACAGTTCAACAATATGTATTGACATATAATACACACTTGTACATAATATCAGTATACTTCCAAAGAATTGGACGAAGAGTACTTGATTGAATATAACGTTCACCATTTTAGCGTAACTATAATTGTATTATGTTAGTTCCGCATATGATTAAGAGCGATTTTTTGATATAGAAATGAGCACATTGAAATACGCACGTACAAATGAAGAAGCATTTGAATACGTGCGTAAAACCGGATTCTTACGTGACCCACTTGTAAATGCTGAGATGTTGACGTATACACTCTGATATTCCCGTTTTGGCTTCATTCGACGAAGAGAGTGCGTGTCCCAGATATCTAAATGTTTTACTAATTATTAATTTGCGAATACGATTTTCGAAAATTTCAAGCTGGGCACACGTTTGCAAAAACAATCCGAAGACTAAGGTGTCCGTGCCGAGGTTTATCACAGCTGCGAAAATTACAGTTATAATCTGATGAATAGATATAGTCCAGAACACCATAGGCACATCGCAATTGAATGGCAGCCACGTTCGATAAGGCAGATGGCCGTGCATGACATTTAAAACTGATCCTATTGTATTGCCCGTAACGGAGCTTGTCACCAAAAGTAAATATTTTATCGAACATGACCTGCAAAACGTAGAAACGGGATTACATTTAACTGTCACACATTTAACACAATTAGAATTTACTCGTCCATTTAATTTACATAAATTTGTAACGAGGGAATTTAATTATTATTCTGTAACATGTCTTCGCGTAATACTGTTGTAGAATAATTTGTTGTGAATTTATTAAAAATTAATTTGCGCAAAATATATTTTAATTTAACAAACAAGAAAGAATAACTTTTTAAATCTATGGCAATAATAACTGTGATACATAAAATGAATAATGTACTATAATTAGTACAGAGCCACGTAGGGCATGTTAATGTTATAACATTCATTAAATTTAAATGTATCCAAAGAGGTCAACACATGTTACGTATAACAGTATGCGAATTAAATTACGATCTTTTACACGAATTACCTAATTGTGCCATCATAGAATCAATAATTTTACTAACAATTTTAATTACCTGATAAATTTATCAAATTTCGTTTGTATAGTTGTTTCATCCTTGTCACGAGGCTTACAAGGTGCTTTCAATAATGTTTGCACCAAATTGATGATCGCATTCCGACGCGCCACAACGACAGTTGCTTTACAGCATACGGCAACAATAGTCAGGAACATTAGAGTATTAGTGGCAAAATCATTAATATTATCAACAATAAGAATTATATCCATAAATTGAGTTAACATCACAAAGTATTCCGAGGCTATTACAATAAAGGTGAATATATTGTACAGCAATTTCGCGACATTTGAAGACCACTCAATAGGTCGCCATATCCCACAAAGATTAGATATTAGAAAATTTAGAGTGAGTATTTTCATATTTGTATTTCTTCTTTACAAATATTTTATCAATGTGTTCCACAAAACTATAGCTTCTTTCCACATAGAAATCTATCTGTTTAAAAAGCAGTTAGAAGCGGAAAATATCCTCTCTTAAATATGCTAAATTAAATATCCGACGAAATACACATATAAAATAATTGTGAGAAATGTTAAACTTAGTGCAAAAGATATTCCACAATTTACTATTCCACAAAATAGATTAGTAAATTAGTAAATTCCACAAACTGATTTTAACTGAGTTTAAATCAAACGCTCAACACACTGAACGTAAATGCGATAAACTTTATTCACTCAACACAGACATTGGTTTGAGAATCCGATGATCTTATTAAACTACAAGGCAACGTATCGTTCGTGTGAATATACAACTAGAAAGAAATATTTGTCAACATTAATGAATCCCCTTTCTCGGAATATCGTGTCTCACAATTTTACCTGTTGCTAACTTAACAGAATTAACAAATATACACCGTGTTTCACTACCGTAAAGGTCAATAAAGTTCATTTAAGTGTAACCGAGTCCGTCTTGCGATGAACTATGTACAGTTTTACATAATTCAACTTCATAACCCCAGTACCATTAATAACAGTCATTAAAAAATCGACATGAAGTCGTTTAGATATTTATTACGGGATACTCGTTCTTTTCCTCTCCTAGAAATGGTATAATTGTGGAAGTTGTCCTACTTGCAATCAACGGGGGATATGGTCCTTTACAGTCACGCACATTGTTAAATTCTCACGGAATAAAATATTTATATATTTTCATATTTGACTGAGTGGAAGATCGTATTCCCGATGAGCCCTATTTTGTTTCATAAAATATAAGATAATGTAACAATAATAGCAATGTGCGTGTATTGGCATCAGTATTCCAAGAATTGTAATGAAGAGTACAGGGTTGAAATAAGTAAACACAGAAATCTTACGAATTATAAACTAATTTATAAAAAATAACTACATATTTATTGTGTCCATGTTCACGTTTGATTGTTTTGAAGTACGTTAAATGCTGAGTATGACGTTTTTAAAAGCTAAAAGAGAGAAAAATTAGAGAAAGAGAAAAGAAAACGGTGCAGTTATTGAAAATTGGTTTCTCGATATGCGCCATAAATGTATCATTGATAAAATTTGGTAAATAAAATTATGGTATTTGCAAGTATACTCGTCCCTCAATTTACGCGAAGTATGCGTACATTTTAACTGTTCTATGCGGTTAAAAACTGCGTTAATGGAATCAGTGACAGTACAAAAAAAATACGTAAGAATAAAGACTGTATGTTATCAACATATTTATTTTAGATTTGCATAAAACAATAATAATACAGGCCGAAAAGTAAGAACTTTCGGCTTATTAATACACAAAAGTGTTAATAAATGTCATAAAATGATATATTTTCTAATGGCGTAGGAAGAGACCGAATATAAAAGTATCACACAAGTTGACGAATGAGTATATTTGCTTTATCACCAAAGTATTTGACACGACATGGCTACTAACATTGCTGTAAGATTGAAGGGACACAGTTATCAAGAAACTACTAGTGAACTTTATAGGAATTGTGCTTCGTATCATAACTATTAGCAATTCCTTTCTTTCGGTAACGGATAATAATGGCCAATCCATGCGATATATAGCATCCCCTACGCTCATACTCTGCCAACATAAAGTAATTAAATTTATCACTTCTGAATAATAGCGATTATCAATATTGTTACGCTCGCGCCGAGCTACGACTCTTTGATGCGAGCTGCGATCGTGAAGGAGTTGCAAGGCGCTCCCATGACAATGCTGCTAAACGGTTGTAAGAAAATTTGTGGCCGAATCACTATCAAACTGTTCAGTTGTCTTTCTGCTGTATTTGTCAGGTAATAAGTTAATTCTCTTCCACAATCGAGTCTGGCTACTTCAGATGGCACAAGCGCGGACGCGCGAATGGTACGCGACACGCGAGCGTCTCCCGGGCGTAACAATATTTATCGATATTACTAGCATTATACACACACGTGTATGTACGCGTATATGTATATGTGAAAATTTTCATACACATGTATAGATTAGTTGCAAATCTACCAAGTGAGTTGCTAGATTACTTTAAAAAATAAAAAATTGAGGTATAGAAGAATACTCAATAATTTCTATTAGGTACATCACTGAAGTACACTTTGCTACAGATTGCAGAACATCAATTGTTACCTTAAGAATAACTTCGTTTCCAGACCAGCAATAAATATAGATTTGTAAAAACATTACAATGGTGTACACTAAGAAAGACGCAGTTGTAGATATTTCTTTAATATGCAGTGACAAGTAATACACACTTGTACATAATACCAGTATACTTCGAAAAAATTGAACGAAGAGCACTTCGTTGAACATAACATTTACTGTTTTGGCGTATCTATAATTGTTTTATATTAATTCTGCATACATATATTGCACGAGTAAAGCAATTATAATTTTGACATACAATTTTGTTACGTGATTCCCACAAATCTGATTATTGTCAAAAATTTATAGTTACGCGTTATTTGCTAAAACAAAATTTTTTGTCCTATGCGAGCATTAAAATCTAATTTTTATTTCAAACCCCGCATAATTGATCACGGAATGATCGCATGGTAAATTTATTTTAAGAATGTTCCGTTTTTCAAGCTTGAAACAATATGCGTATCAACCTCAAATAACGTCAGTTTCCATTTTACGTTCAACATCTTGTCGTCATAAACTTCAATGATTAATAACAACAATTTTTAGATACAGAAATTAAATAATACGCTCAAATATGCACACACTCAATCACACAGGCGCATATAAAGAGACATTTGTATGCATGCGTATAAACCATTCTTACATGACTTACTTGTAAATGCTGAGATGATGATGTATGCACTCCGATATCTTCATTTTGTCTTCACTCGACGGAGAGAGTGCATGTCCTCCTAGATATCTAACCGTTTTATTAATTATTAATTTGTGAAGACGACTTTCAAAAATTTCAAGCTGTGCACACGTTTGCAAAAACAATCCAAAAACTAGGGTATCTGTGCTGATGTCTATTGCACTCGCAAAAATTGTAGTTAAGATCTGATGAACGGATATACTCAAAAACACCAAAGGAACATCATAATCAAACGGCAACCATACTCGATAAGGCAGGTGACCCTGCATAACACTTAAAATTGATCCTATTGTGACACACGTAAGGGACGTTGACGCCAAAATTAAGTATTTTATCAAACACGATCTGTAAATGCGAGATAATTCGTCAACTTTTGCACTTGTACGTTAATTAAAATTCACTTGTGCTTGTTTAAATACACAATGACAGAATTTAAGTGTTACTCGGTGCATACATGTATGTGCGTTCCCAGGAAGTGTATAACATACTTTTAATACAATATTTAGAAAATATTATTTACAAAAAGTTTTTCAAGTTTTCTTCTTTTATTTAAATGTTTATAAAAGTACAGATTCCGTTCAATTTCTACCGATGATCTGTCAGATTAGCAAGCCGGAAAAACGTGAATTTAATACGGACTCTGATGATATCGCGATCTGTTGCAATATCTGAACAAATCTGATGCCAATCTGTTGTCGTACTACGGGTAGTTTATTTGTTGAAATGTAAAGGGCTTTACGGATCAGTGCAAATTGAATCCGAGAGTATCACCGATACATGTATATTACCTACACACGTACACAAATCAAATTCTTGTAACAATAATTTCCCCTTACAGAAATGTAAGCAAAGTAATTACTAGAAAGTTACTGTACAATTAGAAATTTTTAATGATTCAATTACTGAACTTTAGTAATCATTTCATGCTTTTCCGTTCCCAGTTATTACATTTCTGTAAGGGTCAATTCAAATTATATTATGCTGTCCCGTAGGTTTTCCTATTAATTATGTGTATCTACCTGATAAACACGTCGAATTTCATTTGTATTTCTGCTTCGTCCTCATCACGAGGTTTGCACGGTGTCTTCATCAATATTTGCAATAAGGCGATGATACCGTTCCGACGTACCACAATGACAGTTGTTTTACAACATATGGCAAAGACACTCAGACATATTAAAGTATTATTGGCAAAATCATCGACATTATCAGCAATAAAAACTATATCCATAAATTGGGTTAACGTCATAAAGTATTCAGAAGATATTATAATAAGCGTAAATATACCATACAGCAGCTTGGCACCATTTGATGACCACTCAACAGGTCGCCATATACCACTAATGGTATAAATAACAAAATTTAGAGAAAACATTTGCATCTTTGGGTCATTCTTTTTACGAGCGACTTATCGATATATGCACAAAAATAGTTTCTTTCTATATGTTCAATATATAAAAAAAAAGTGTTTTAAAATTGCGAAAAGTACCTTCTCGTAAATACGCAAAATTAAATGTCCGATAATATATGCCAGATGAATGTCAGAAATATTGAATTTAATGTAGAACGCAGTGTAATAATTAACAAAATAGATTACGCAATTGGTAAATTCTACAAACTGATGTTTAATTCGCACGCTCGACACACCGAATATATAAATGCGAATAAATTTTATTCACTCGACTCGTAGATCGCTATCTTAGTTTGAAAATTGCATGATCTTATTTAACTGTTACGCAATGTGTCATTCGTGTGAATATACAACTAGAAAAAATAATTGTAAACATTCATAGCGCACCTCTCTCAGAATATCGCGTCTCACAACTTTATCTGCTACTATTGGTAGAAGAATTAGATAACAAGTATTATAGATACAACGTGTTGTACTACCGTGAAAGACAACCAATTTTATTTAAGTGACCCGAGCATGTCTTACGATAGACTATGTACGCTTGTACAGGCTTCAACTTCATAACTACTGTATCATTAATAACGGTCATTAAAAAATCGACATGTAGTCGTCGAGACATTTACTACCGCGTACTCCTTCTTCCCGCTCTTGGAAATGGTATAATTATAGAAGTTTTTCTACTTACAATTATCGAGGGTTACGGTCCTTTGCAGTCGCGCACGTTGTTATGTTCCCATCAAATAAAATATCTGTATATTTTCATATTTATCAGAACCGAGTGGAAGATCATATTTCTCGTAGAGTCTCATTTTGTTGCATATAATGTGAGATAATGTAGCGATAACGACAATTAAATATATAGATATTTTGCAGCTTAACTATCTGCACTTGCCGACAAGTATACCTAATAACAATATCAACCCTGTGCACAATATATCAGATAGCGGAGACGGAAAAGATCCTCTTTCTTGACTTCAAGCCAAAATATAGTGTCACTTGTACACGAACTTAAAATGTATTTCATTATATACATATACTGTATACAATTTGTACACTTATTTGTTGCGTATGCATTGGGACCAATATTCATAGAACCATAGACGTAGTATATTTGGACCGAGCATTGCGCAGTGGAGGTAGAGGTGTATGTACGTAGAAAAGGAACAAAGTCTGTTTTGTGCTATTTCGTTCTCTCTCGGTCGCATGCGAAGGAGTTTGTCCTTTTCTACGTGAACCTCTACCCCCACTACTCAAATAAAGGCAAACGCGCGGTCTAGATGTATGATGTCTATGCATAGAATTATAATAAAGAGTAAGGTTGAACTAAATACGTAAACGGAAATTTTATCATGTAAACAAGCTTTTCGAATTTACTAATTTATGTAAAATTACATAATTATCGTGCTCAAATACACACTGGTCATTTATATTTCACTTCTGAAGTACGTTAAATGCTGTGTATGACGCTTTTAGGATCTGAAAGGGAATCAGAGAAGTACAATAGAAAACAGTGCAACTATTCGATTTATGTTTTCCGACATGCACCGCAAATATGTTACGGATTTAATTTCGCGTGCAGGCATTTACTTCGCCTCCAAATTATTTATCACAACGGGACTACTAACGGAGCTGTAGGATTGAAGAGACGCAGTTATCAAGAAGCTGCTGGTAAACTTTATAGGAATTGTGCTTCGTAACATGATTAGCAGCAAATGTTTTTTCTCGTTAACTGATAACAGTGGCCAGTCCATGCAATATATAGCATCTCCTATGCTCATACTCTGTCAACATATAATACAATTAAATTGATCACTTCGCAATAATACCGAATATTTATTAACATAACTAGCAGTATACAGGGTATCCCATTTTAACTTGGACAGTAAAATGCATCATTTTGATACGGGTTGTGGAATATCAGTGATTACCTTAAGAATGACTTCATTTCCAGACCAGCAATAAATGTAGATTTGTAGAAACATTACAAAGGTGTACACTAAGAAAGACGCAGTTGTAGACAATTCTTGAATATGCAGTGACAAGTAATACACACTTGTACATAATACCAGTATGCTGCTAAAGAATTGAAGAAATAGGACTTGATTGAACGTACTGTTCACCATTTCGGCATATCTGAAATGGATTCACGTTAAACTTGCATTGCACATGAGTGAAACAATTGCAGTCTTGATATATATAATTTTATGACAAAATGTCTATAATTACAAAAATTGTTGGAAAATTTTAGCATGTTTTATTTCCCGAAACAAAAATTGGTCCTAAATGAGCATTAATACCTAATTTTTCTTTCAAGTTCCAAGCAACTTATCATAGAATTGCCGTATCATAAAATTACTAGTTAAGAATGTTCTGTTGTCGAATGTTGCTAAGTACAGAAATTTGCGCATTCAAACGCAGACACTCATTCACGCACACACGCACATATAAAGAAGCATTGAATATAGACATACAAACAATTTCTTACGTAACTCACTTGTAAATGCTGAGATGATGGCGTATACACTCTGATATCTCCAGTTTTTCTTCATTCAACGAGGCGACTCTACATCCTAGATATCCAACTGTTTTATTAATTATAAATTTTTGAAGACGATTTTCAAAAATTTCAAGTTGGGAACACGTTTGTAAAAACAATCCAAAAACTAGAGTATCCGTGCCGACATTTATCATAGTGGCAATAATTATAGTTATAACCTGATGAACAGATATAGTGAAAAACGCCAAAGGTGCATGGTAATTAAATGGCAGCCACATTCGATAAGGCATTTGACCTTGAATAATATTAAGCACTGATCCTATCGTGACACCTGTACAGGAGCTTGTACACAAAATTATATATTTTATCAGACATGATCTGTAAATATATAAATAAGTTTATATTTCATCAACTTTTGTATATCTACGATAGTTAAAATTTGTAAATATGAACACTTCTAATTTGTGAAGAATTTAACGCCAGTACATGCTTAAACAATGTAGAAAAATTTAACGTTTAAAAAACGTTTAAAAAAATTAAAAACGTTTAACAATTTTCCTACTTCTAATTTTTATAAATACTTAACAATAGAATACAAGTATTACTTTGTATGTGCACAGATACGTGTATAATATTCATTTAATATTTAGAAAAGTTAAATTTATTTTTTTTTATTTACAAAATGTCAATAATTATATTTTTTGTACATGGCAATGGCAACGAAAATATATATATATCAAGAAGATATATGCAGTTAATAAGATGCACTCATAAACCGCGTAACTTAATCTGTTAAAAACATGTTTAAAAAGTGTCTGCTGCAATTGTTATCAGACAAGTACCAGCAGAAATGTGACAGAATCCGATAAAAGAACATAATACAATAGCAGATTGACCGCAAAAACTGAAAATAATTTACTATGTTATAACCATTGAAAGGATGTGTACCATTCAACTGTTTATAAAATAACAAATTTTACTCTAGTTACATTAATGTGTTACTATAGGTTTTTCCTATTAATTATACGTACCTGATAAACTTGTCAAACTTTGCTTGTATCGATGCTTCTTCCTCGTCACGAGGTTTACATGGTGATGTCGTTAATATTTGTATTAAAGTAGTGATTGCATTCCGACGTACCACAGCAATAGTCATTTTACAACATACAGCAGCGACACTCAGACACATTAAAGTGTTATTCGTAAAATCATTGATATTATCGACAACAAAAAGTACATCCATAATTTGGGTTAATATCATAAAGTATACAGAAGATACTACAATAAATGTATATATACTATACAGCAGCTTGGCACCATTTGATGACCACTCAACAGGGCGCCATATACCACTAAGGGTATATATTAAAAAATTTAGAGAAAGTATTTGCATCTTTGGATCATTCTTTTTACGAGCAAACTTATCGATATGCACAAAATAGTTTCTTTCTGTATGTATAATACTTAAAAAAGTCTTTTAAAACATTGCAAAAAAGTACCTTCTCTTAAACACGCTAAATTAAATGTCCGATAATATATGTATATCGGATGATTGTCAGAAAAGTTGAATTTAATGTAGAACGCAGTGTAATATTTCACAAAATATTAATTAAGTAATATTTTGTTAATTCTGCAAACTGATGTTTGAGTCGCACACTCGACACACCGTATGTAAATGCGAATAAATTTTATTCACTCGACACGTAGATCGCGTATACCGCTGTCTTGGCTTAAATATTGGATTATCTTATTTAACTGTAATGCAATATGTCATTCGTGTGTATGTACAACTAGGAAAAACAATTGTAAACATTCGTAGCGCAACCTCTCTCAGAATATCGCGTCTCACAACTTTCTCTGCTACCAATACAACAGAATTTGATAACAAGTATTATAGATACGTTTTGTACTACCGCGACAGACAACCAATTTTATTTAAGTGAGCCGAGCATGTCTTACGGTAGACTATGAACGGTTTTACGTACTTTAACTGCATAACCCCTGTATCATTAATAACGATCATTAAAAAATCGACATTAAGTCGTCGAGACATTTATTACCAGGTGCTCCTTTCCCGCTCGTGGAAATGGTATAATTACAGAAGCTCTTCTACTCGCAATTATCGAGGGTTACAGGCCTTTACAGTCATGCACGTTGTTAAATTCCCATCAAATAAAATATTTGTATATTTTAATATATTTATCAGAACTGAGTGGAAGATCATGTTTCTCGTAGAGTCTCATTTTGTTGCATAAAATGTGAGATAATGTAGCGACGACGGCAATTAAGTATTTAGTATTTTGCAACTTAACTATCTGCACTTGTATGCCGATAGTATATACGGAAAAACCGACACGGTTACCGGACGCATAGTAAGGAATTCGCACGACCACAATGAATAGTAATATTTGGGAGAACTGTATCTGTGGTTGTCACATCCACATTGATGTAATTATGGTGCCATAGTTGACGTCATTATTGTATAGTTGGAACAACTATAAAAAATTACGTACGCAGACTTCTATCATTCAGGCTTTGTCTTTTCCAATATGCTTAAAAATTTTTTTACAATATTATCAACTTATATAGTTTTTACTGCTGAGATGCCAATATTTATTATCTATAATTATTGTCGGCGATAATCTAAGATCAAAAATGAGTTTAATAATTATAAGTTTTATTACGACGCTGTTTTTACAATTCGAAAATATCAAGTTGCGAGATAAGGAGATAGGTAGAAATTTACAGTGAACATAATTTACCAAAGCGCTATAACATCATGTCGAAGCACATTTTTAATTGTATATGTCTCACTTTTGCAATAGATTAAACGCCGAGTATGATATTTTTAAAATCTGAAAGAAAAGAATCATAATAAATTAAATGTAGAAAAGTAGGTACGTACAACTGTTAAGTTAGACCGTAAGTAAAAGGAATACAAACTAATACTAACACTACTGTAAGACTGGAGAGATAAAGTTATCAAGAAGCTGCTGGTAAATTTTATAGGAAGTGTACACCGTAACATGATCATTAGTAGCTCTTTCCTTTCGTTTGCTGACAACGAAAGCCAGTTCATACGATATATTGTATCTCCCACACTCATACTCTGCCAACGTGATATAACAAAGTAGTTATTTCATGATAATGTTGACTCACTTAATTAAATATTTTAAACACGTGTACGTGTACCGTGACACACCCATTGTAGACATTTTTTAGACATTCCTTATGCACTTGTACACTTATTACTTTGTAAAGTTCTATATTTCCCAATTTCAAACTTATGATAAATATCTAATTACTTCGGAAATTTTTGAAGAATCAAATTATGAAGATATACTCATGACTTTGAATTATTTATAGGATTTGGGACTGGATTGCGAATGCAAGCCTACCTTAAGTATGACTTCGTTTCCGGACCAGCAGTAAACATAAATTTGCACAAACATACAAATAGTGTACACTATCAAAGTGGCTGTCTCGGAAAACGAGCTGTGTGCTGACAGATAATGTACACTTGTACATAATACTAATATGCTGCCAAAGAATTGGACAAAGAGTACCTGATTGAATATAACGTTTACTGTTCTGGCATATCTGCAATGATGTTACATGTTGTAAGTGGAAACTCTCTCATTACCACATGTAAAATTGTAACTTTGTTTAACTTTAAAACTTGGTAAAATATTCTATTTTTACTTTAAATATTTTTTGGTCGGAAACATTAGCACAGATATAATTCATGGATAGAGCAACTAATATGTACAGCATCGTTGAAAAGTACAAACAAGTAGAAGTGTGAACATGTGCGAAAGAAATAATTCTAACTTGTAAATCTTGAGGTGATGATGTACGTATTTTGATATTATTGCCTTTTCTTTATTTGGCGGCGGAGACGAGTGTTCCAGATATCTGACTTCAATTTTCATTAACTTGTTAGTTTTGTAATTAACTAATTTACGAAGACGACTTTCAAATATTTCAAATTGCGCGCATGTTTGCAGAAATAATCCGAAAACTAGAGTTTCCGTGCCGACGTTTATGATAGTAACAAAAATCACGGTTATGATTTGTTGAATGGATGTAATCCAGAACATCGGAGATGTGTTGTAATCGTATGGTAACCATACACGATAGGGTAAGTAGCCCTCCATAGCGTTTAGCACAGATCTTACTGTGACGCCGGTGACGGAGCTAGTCGCTAAAAGTGAATATTTTATCGAGCATGATCTGTAAAAGTGTATAATTAAAATTACATTTCGAGGAAAATCTCCTATTATGAGATAAGCTCCTAATGTGAGATAGCAGGGTTTTAATTAGTAGGCATCATCTATTGGTTTCATTGTTAATCTATTGCTCAGACATCCCTTGGAGGGAAATCTGTTTAGTGGAAAATTTATTGTTAAGAAACTTTGATGTTAAAAACCTACTATCTCATAATCGAGGACTTTTCTCTATTAATATACATAAACTATTCTGTCTTAATAATAATTGAAATTTATACTTTAATATTTATAAAAGTTTATAATAAACTTGAGTACAAAATTTTGTTCTTATTCTACAAAGAACATAATGTGATTAATAGAAACGATAAAATATATATATTTTTTTTTAGTAAAGTATTTTCTACAAAATATTTGTTAATTCTTATTAACGAAAAAAATATTGTAAATTGATTGTTGAAACAAAATTCAGACTAAGCGTTTAAATTGTGAAATTTTGAAATAGACGCTTTGCTATCAAAGGACAACGGTAATAGCGGTAAATACTCACTTGATAAACTTATCAAATTTCGTTTGTATTGCTACTTCGTCCTCGTCTCGAGGCTTACAAGGTGTCGTCAACAATACTTGCACCAAGTTGATGATTGCATTCCGACGTGCCACAACGATAGTCGCCTTACAAGTAACGGCAACAATGGTCAGAAACATTAAAGTGTTTGTTGCGAAATCATCGAGGTTATCGACAATGAGAATGATATCCAAGAATTGGGTTATCATCAAAAAATATAACAAGACTATTACAATAAAGGTAAACGCATTATATAGTAGCTTAGCAAAGTTCGATGACCACTCGATCGGCCTCCATACACCGCCGATGGTATACATTAAAAAATTTAGAGAAAACATTTGTATACTTGTAACTTTTGTCATCATAAATCAGTTTATTGAGATGTTGCACAATATTGGTGTGTTTGTCGAATTTATAAAAGGAAATTATGAACAAAGCGTTGCGAAAAATCTTTTAGGTTTATTAATTATTTCTTGCAAACTCTAGCAGAAACAATTTAAAGAAAAATTAAGTTTATAAAAATAGAGAGAGAGAGAGAGAGAGAGAGAAAGAGAGAGAAAGAGAGAGAAAGATAGAGTAAGAGAGTATTTCTATTAAATATTATAAATATGATAAATCTGTTTATGTATAACAATCGGGTGATATTGTTGAGCTATATAAAATATACCAATATGATTGGAACAACGGGAGAAAGAGAAAGGAGAAAGTTACAAATATCTATTCCGCACTTTTCTCAGAATATTGCTTCTCACATTTTTAGCAACACAATCGAATTAACTTGGATGTAAGCTTCAATATCGCAAAGACAATTAAATTTCAAGTAGATAATATTGTGCACCCGTGTCACAAGAAACTACATATGAGTTGACTCGTTCCAACTTTTTAGTCATGTGCCATTAACAACGGTTATTAGTACTATTATAGTCTATTACGGTGCACGTTTATTTTCCGTTTACGTGAATAGCATAATGACGGCTGTAGCAACGGATACGAAGGTCGTCTTACTTTGTAACGATCAAGGGGTGCATTTACCCTTGTATCTAAACATATTGTCATATTCCCATCAAATAAAATGTTTATTCACATTCACGTCAGAAAAGTCGTAGGAACAGTTCAGTGAATAAGAATATGAGCGATTATATATATTTCTCTTTACTTTATCATCTCGATACCGCCAAGTGACATTGAGAATGCATATTGTTTTATCTATTATACATATTGCTGCTTGTCTGTTTTTTTTTTCTAAATGCGAAGAGCGCTGACAGAACGTATCAACTCTTGTACGGTGTGTCTTGTGGCGTATATCGTAGACAACTCATATAAGAACTCAGCAATTTCTTTCTTTCCATCAATCGAATTAATATGAAACTAACAATGTGCAAGTTCGATGCAGAGAAAGAAGCCTTCAAAAGCTGTAAAGTGAAACAAGAGTTTAATGGGAATAAAGTGTCATGCGTGTAATATCGTAAACAACATGAATCACTAGGAAAAATAATTTTGTGTCTTCGACAAAACAGTTTAGTTGAAGTACTTTTTTTACAGTTACCAAGTAACTTGTTTTATGTAACAAAACATTTAATTATCTCTACTAAATCTGTTTTTCTGTTGTGTTCTCAGGACAAAATAATTTTGTTCTCGTTTTCATATACTAAAATTTAACTTTTTACTTAATACATTCATGAAAAGTGGAATAATAGTAAACTTTTGTTTTAAATAAACTAAAATAATATTGATTGCTCTATGTATTAAAATTTAAACTTAATATACTAGGAAAAACTTGTAGTATTTCTAACAAGATTGTTTGGTTGCCCCAACAAAATTGTTGATAAATTCAATGGGTTTTGTGCTACATTTCGTAATCATGAGTAGATTCGTCGCGACAGGTCGCCATTTTTTCAAGTTTCGTCCCGAGATAAAAATTAATACTCAGTATCGACATTTCTCGGTTTTCCGGCACGTTCTCGATTGCGCCCATTCACAGTTACATTCCAATTCGCGAATCTTAAACGACGTTGTTCGATAACCGGTTCCGTTACGAAAGGAGCCCTTTGTCGGCGTAAAACGAAGCGGAGGCGACGGTTGATCGTTTCAAGGTAAATCACATCGACCGCGAGCGAGGCGTCTTCCTCAGAAATTCCAAGTTCGAGACGCTCCTCCCGCCCCTGCCCCTCTCTTTCTTCTCTCTCTCGCTCTCTTTCCTCTCCTCTCGCCTTTCTCATTTTACTCGCTACGTCGCGTCACCCGCGATGCCTCGGTGACACACTTCTCGCCGAGGTTGCTTTTTTTTTCGACGTGTTTCACCTTCCGCTCGCGAGTTCAACGATCCATCCGAAACCACGATCCGCGCCTCCGGTAGGCAGGCAGGCAAGCACCGCTAGTAGGACACCGTCCTCAATAGCACGTCGAAAGTACGTGTGGTGGACGTCAGTGATCTTACGAATGCTCTCTATCGACCTGTACACCATCTCTGTGGTGGTGCCCTCGGCGCACGAATAGACAGGCGGCTCATTATATTCGAAAATATAGCGCCTAGAGCTGACGCGAAATCGCCTGTAACAGCGGCTCGTGGATGGGTGGGTGGGTGGGTGGATAGGTCGGTCGGTCGGTCGGTTCGTGTGCCAAACATCAAGAACGAAAACCTCTTCACCTCAATTAACACCGCCGCTGGTAGTGGTGACGCCGGTTAGTAGTGGTAGAGGACGGTGGTGGTGGTTCGTAACCGGTAGCCCCGCGCACGCGAGTTTCATACGTACTCGTCCTCTTTACGTGTAAAGCGCCGTGAGATCGCGAAATTGGTCCGCGATGCGTAAAGAGCGCCGGCAATTGTCGCAATTGTTAGCAACAATTGTTGGAGCAACCGCGTACAATTCGCGGAGAAAAAGGGCACGTTGGCGCGGGGGAAGGGAAACGACGTACCTTTAATTTAGCGCGCGCCGATTTTCTTACCGATCTCGACGCACGTACGGGAGGCGATTTTCTCACCGTCCGCAAAAGCGTACGAGAAATACACCCGCCTGGGGTGTAATAAAGAACCGGACATTTGTTGTTGTTTTTTTCGAGAGGTACAATGGACTTTTTTTTAGCTGAGCTACTTTTACGACGGGGCCTCTTTATCAACGTTTGTCAAAGCTCATTCGTTAACTGGTTCATAGAGAGTCGGACGTTCGCGGTTTTTACGGGGTCACGCGTTTTCGCGCTTTTGCCTCGTTACGTTTCGCCGTGCGAAGCCCGCTCTCCGCGCGAGATTTCGAGATATCAGCGGTAAATGCGTCCGCACGCTAAATGTGCGGCGAAATAACAATTCGCCGCGATACGCTTGACGGCGTTGCTCATTGTGCGCCCGGTGCCGCGACGGTGGTGGTAGTGCCGAGATGAGGCAGTAAACGGGCCGTCTCCTAGCTGGGACACATTGTGCCAGTGGTTGGTCTACAACAGCGGGCAGACAGCAGCAGATACCAGAGCGACGGAGGAAGTGGGTTTCATTAGTAGTGGTGGCGGCGTCGGCGGTGGTGGTGCTCGAGTGCTAGGTGCTGGGTGCTGGTGCTGGTACTGGTGCTGGTGCTGGGCGCTGGTATTGGTACCGGTGTTGGTGCTGGTGCACTGCCTACTCTGCTACTGCCACTGCTATCGGTACTGCTGCTGGCGCTTGCTGTCACTTTGCTGGTGGTGGTAGTGAGCGCGCGGCATATTTCGCTTCTCTCTTTGTATAAGCTCACAGTATCATCACACATCTCTCCGCCGCTGCTCTTGCGAGCCGAGATCTTCCTCACCTTCCTCACTTGCGCTCCTCGGACGCTGGTACCGCGGCTGCTCTTCGGGACCTTTGGTCTCGCAGCCGTTTACCTCTCCTCCTCCTCTCTCTCTCTCTCACTCTCACTCTCTCTTTCTCTCGCACGTTCTCTCTCTCTCTATCTCTCTCTCTCTTTCCCCCGCTCTCGCTCTCGCTCGCTTTTCTTCCCGCTTTTCTCCCTTTTCCTTTTCCTTTCGTTTCCTCCCTCGCGACTTTCGCAAATGCCGTCCGTCGACTCGTCCGCCGTCCGCGCGCCAACGTGACCGCGTACGACCGAGAAAAAAAAGAGGAAGTGCGTGCGTTCACCCACTCGCGTTCACCTGTGGTGCCGTGTCCCCGCATAAACGACTCGACCCTGGAAGCAACGGAAGGATAAAAAATCAGCGTCGAAAATCACTCGTCGCTCACGTTCGCACTGCCGCCTCGCGTGCCGCTTTCGCCGTGAGTTTTACGTACTGATTTCGTCGGATTCCACAAATTCCACGGTGCAATCTCTCCGTCGCTGATACACCTACACGCAGTCAGGTAACGCAAACCGATAACATATAAGTTTCATGCATATTACATCGCGAAGTGTTGCATATTCGTGCAGCGGCAAGTAAAAAAAATGAGAGCGACAAGTTCGGTTCTCGCGTACGTATAATTATGCACGTTTTCGACACACGGAGGCTACAGTGTTCCCATTGGAAAGGTGTGGAGTATTGAGTAATATCTCGCGCCGTTGCCTGGCGGGAGAACGAAAGAGGCTCTCTTAATTTAAAATAATGCCCGCCCTTCGGCGCGCATCACACGATGACATTGTTGCAGAATGTATCGCGCGCTGCTCCTTCTCGCCTTCGTTTACGGGAGCATCCACGGGATGCAATTCCACAACAAGGGGGACGTACCACGCCTGTACCACCCGCGTTTCCTGACGTACGAGGAGCCGTACAACATCGAGTTCAAGTACCACAATTACGATCAGATGAGCCGCTTTCTTCGCGCGACGTCCCTTCGATTTCAAAATCTCACCGCGCTGTACTCGATAGGAAAGTCGGTGAAAGGTAACGTTATCCTCCCGCGGTGTTGCAGACGGTCTAATCGCGATAAACGGCGTGTCCTAAAAAGAAAGAGAGGAACGCTCGGACGGTGCTCACGGCGGCTAGTAACAGCGTCGCCGTTTTCCTGGCCGTATCTGGCATTTTTAACAGTACAGAAAATTTATTGCGTAAAATATTACCTCAGCCAGGGTGCGAACCTGGACCTCCCTACGCTCTGGGCGTCTCACCAATCCGACCACTGAGGCACGTGGTAATATTTGTCGCAATAACGGTATAAAGATGTTGTCTATTTTTCGACTTAAATTTTCTAGCAATTCTAGTAGTACCTTCTGGAAAGTTTAGGTTTCACGACTAAATATTAATCATTCACCTTGGATGAACACGAATTTCGATACCATAGCTATTGGTAGGAGAATTTTTGCAAGGAGCACAGCTGTTTATGTATCACAACCAAACGTTGTAATGGACGAGCGTCGCAGAAACATTTTCTTTCTAATATTCGCTGACAGTTGAGATAGAAATGCTGCTTCCTGTTATTTTAATTGATCATGTACAAAACGTGCGAGCATTGGCCATTCAATTATATACCTCAGTTATTTTTTCGTACCTAGAAAATCGTTGCTGCACCCTCAGAAAGGATTTACCGGGACAAAGCATATTCTTGACGCATTTATATTTCTCACAATCACATTTAGTATAAAAATAAGACGGTATCAAATAAAATCAATAATTCTTATTCGCGATAGATTGTTCTATTCACATTCGAAAAAGATTTACAGCAGTGCCAGTCGAAAGTTCCACGAACATAAGACAAATATACGAGAATGACCTATGGAATATTCTAAATATTCTTGAAGAGTATTCTTCAAATGTTCACATGGAGTGTCTTGTGCTATCTGGGATTGAAGCGTAATAGCATTGGATCAGGAAATTTTTTCTGTGGGTGTGCAAGATCATATCTCTCTTTTTTTTTAGTAATATGTAAAAAGTGGAAGGAAGGCGGAGCGTTAATAATCAAGCGATTACAATAGGTCGTGATTTGTGGGTAATGGTCGTGTCGTCCTCGCCTTACGAGCACATGATCGGGAAACCCGACGTAAAGTACATCGCCAACATACACGGAAACGAAGCTGTGGGACGCGAATTAATGCTACATCTCATTCATGTACGTAATTATGTCAAGCGTTGGAATTTCCACGTCACATGTTACTCACAATGACGGGAGTAGCACATGCGCAGCGGTACGTCGTTTACAATTCGGTGCCGCCGCCGCGCGCAATGCTTTGCGAAGGGAAGATTTGCTCGGTTGGCAGATTTTGTCGGAAAGTAAACCGGTAGACTGACCGCGAGTAACAACAATTTTAGATATTAACTGGAACGGACACGTTCGAGTCAAGTGCGAATAATATAATGTTAACGTCAGCAACTTATTCTTGCATTCGACAACTCGACGCGTGCGTTCTTTTTTTCTCTGCCAGATATATCTCTCTTTCCTATTTTTTTCTCCTTCTAGTCTCTCGTGACTTCGTACGGATCGGACGCGTACATTACATGGCTATTGGATAATACAAGGATTCATATTCTACCGTCGATGAATCCCGATGGCTTTGAAGTCTCCAAAGAGGGACGCTGCGACGGTGGTCAAGGCAGGTTAGACATTTTTGCCAAAAGTATGATATTACTCCGCCAGCAATTATTAAGTGTCGACTTACTCAACCCCCGTTTATCTTATTTTATCTTTATAATGCCCCAAAAATGCCCAGTAATGCCGCAAATCTGTACACCATAATGCCCTCAGCTGTTTCCCCCTCGGTCCCAGCCGAGAGATAAACCGCTGACCAAAATCATGCACACCAAATCCCACTAATGCCCAGTGGGCATTACTTTATCTTATTTTGTCTTATTTTACCTTTGTGATGCCCCAGCAAGGCCTACTGCCCAAACTAAGGCCCAAAAAATGCCTAGTAATGCCGCAAATCTGTACACCACAATGCCCTCAGCGGTTTCCCCCCTCGCCAAAAATATTACTAACAATTTTCGCCACCGTAGCTAATCACGATTCGCTAAAAATATTTCGCCACAATTTCTAAACCGCAGCAAACGGTTTGCTGTCGCACCCAGTACAATAGGCACAGTAGCAAAATGTTGGCTATCGCAACTGAATATTAGTTAACTTATTTTTGAACCATTCCTAGTTTAGTGAGTCGCGTTAACCAACGTTGAAGCCCAACGACCGGTGTACTTAAGCGTGGAACGTTCAAAGGTCGCGATGAATGACAATCTTCCCCGAAGGGAAAATTTCCTCTCGATTAAAACGTGCAAATTAAAAATGTTGCGCCCAACGTTTCGCAAAATAGTCACGGGCTGAGCGTTAATGAATAGTCGCCGGGCGCGCTAACGAATACGCCGTTAAATGGTCCCGTTTCCGCTAAAGGAGATATCCCGAAGCGCCGAGACACATTTCGCCGAGGCCGTTACTTCTCGAGCGTCTCGTCGCTTCGCGCGGAGAAGAGGAAATAAAAAAAAAAAGACGATCACCTCCCAATTTCTGAAATCTCCGCGTACGATTGTGCAGGTATAACGCGCGCGGCTTCGACCTGAACCGCAATTTCCCGGACTACTTTAAGCAGAACAATAAGAAGAGCCAGCCGGAGACCGAGGCCGTCAAGGAGTGGGTCTCGAAGATACAGTTCGTGCTCTCGGGCAGCCTGCACGGCGGTGCGCTCGTGGCCAGCTACCCCTTCGACAACACCCCGAATTCGCGTAAGTTGAATTCACCCTCCGCGTTGAATTACCGTCGCGAAATCGTTAAAAGGCGAGCAAGCGCGGCGCGCGCTCGATCGTCCCCGATCCGGGCCGCGGAGCCGCAACGCTCCGCTGTCGTATCGCGATCGTCCTCCTTGCGAGATGCGTTTATGAGAGGGGGGAGGGGGGAAGAAACAAAACCGGAAACAAACGGCGTTATCGCTTTCCGGGTGCGATCCCTCCAGCGGCGAGTTTCCGCGACACGACCGCTCGATCTCGAATTCGTTAACGTTAACGTTTGTGTATTAACAGACAGATTACAGACAGCTATGACCATAGCTGCTCGTAGCTCTGAAGCTGTCATGATATTGTGTAAACTTTCATGCCGTCAGGAATATGTCGATCGGCGCCGCTATGTGCAGGTATTGTGCAACACATATGATTATCTTAATTTTACTGTTAGTGCTCGATATTAGCGACATTTGCTTTATCATTTACTCGCAAAGCGTAAGAAGCACCTTTTGATGTACCGCCGCTCTTGATCGACTCGAGTGCGACGAGACAAAATGTGACACGTCGAAACAGAACAGTAGGTAAAAATGACAAAGTCTGCGGCTTGGGTCTCACGAAGATTGCGCTGAGAGAACAGCAGCTTCGCTACCGCTCGACCAAACTGCTGTACTTGAAAACGTGTGAAAATGAGGTACTTAGACGCACAATTAGACGCGGCACACGCACATGAAACGCACGCCCCCTTGTACAGTTTTGCTCTGATAAGAGGCCAAAAGAGAAAGAGAGAGAGTGAAAGAGAAAAATAGAGACGAAACGTATATGGGACGGCACGAGCGAGAAAAAGAGACGATTTCTCGCGTAGAAATACAGCTAGAGGCGCCTCGACATTTTCATTGAGAAATTAGAGCCAGAGATTAGAGAGAGCGCCCGGCGGGCGTTCTATCGACAGCTTACAGTAGATTACACAAATCATCCGCGTGCTCTCTATCCGCGGATAGATAGTCCGGCGTTTAAACAAGTAACAATGTCATGTGGAGAGAATAGTGTTTCAGAGTTTCTCGTCGACGCCGAGCGTCTCGCCGGATGACGACGTGTTTCAACATTTATCGTTGACGTACTCTCGAAACCACGGGTCTATGTATCAGGGATTACCGTGCACGCCGTCTCAGCCCGCATTTAAACGTGGAATTACTAACGGCGCCGAGTGGTACCCGCTTACCGGCGGAATGCAAGACTTCAACTACGTGTGGAACGGCTGCATGGAGATCACCTTGGAGCTCTCTTGCTGCAAATATCCCCCGGCCGCGGATCTACCGCACTACTGGGCGGAGAATCGGGCGGTGAGTGGACCTTTCAAATAAAGATTGCACAGCTTAGAGAGAAAGAAGAACGTACGACCCAATTCTCGGTGCGCAACGATTTTTCATGAAAATGCCACGTTTCGTTTTCTCTTTACGAAGAATACTAATGTACATTTGTATTATGCTTCCAGTCTCTAATCAAGTTTCTGGCGGAGGCTCACAGGGGTGTTCACGGTTTTGTCGTCGACGAAAACGGCAATCCCATCGAAAGGGCCTCCGTTAAGGTGAAATCGCGAGATGTCAGTTTCTCGACAACGAAATATGGCGAGTTTTGGAGAATCCTCTTGCCTGGGGTTTACAAGTTGGAGGTACGTTACGTGACGCAACGACAGCCTGTCCAATAGAGCCGTTTCCTTAATACCTTGCGCGTACCAGTAGAATGTAAAAGTTGTCCGAAATAAGAAACGTGCTAGAAACTGCGTTAATCGCCCATTGTATCGCGTTTAATCCGTCGTTTCTCTCAGGTATTTTCCAACGGGTACGTACCTCGCGAAGTGGAATTCGTAGTGATCGAACAACATCCGACGCTCCTCAATGTTACCCTTTACTCGACGAAAGTAAGTAAAATACCGTCAGCAGATTCGGAAGATGATCCATTATTCTTCACGTCCTTTAAACGTGCTATCTAGAATATCGATGCCACATTTTTTAATTACTCTTACGTTTTAACCGAGGGGGAAACCGCTGAGTGCATTGTGGTGTACTGATTTGAGGCATTACTGAGCATTAGTTTGGGCATTAGGCTTTGCTGGGGCATTATAAAAATAAAATAAGATAATAAGATAAAGTAATGCCCATTGAGCATTAGTGGGCATTAGTGTACAAGATTTTGGTTAACGGTTTTCCCCTCGGTTTTAACTAGAGACCCTGTAATCAGAGACTGGCTGTAAGAGTTCGTTAGATTCTACGATCGTAGAAGAGTGAGATAGCCTATGTTTCTCTCTCACTCGCGGGAATTTGACGAACTCTTATGGCCAGTCTCTGATTACAGGGCAGGGTTGGGAAGTAACTCGTTACTTGTAACGAAGTTACAGTTACTTTTTTGTAACTCGTAACTTGACTTCGTTACTTTCTCTCAATCTGTAACTGTAACTTAACTCATTGTCAGTTACATTATTTCGACAACTAGTAACTAATTTAATAGTTACATTAATAGTTACTTTATATATTTTTTAAACCTCCACAGATCACATGAGGTCTTGCAGTTGCGCATAAACGCCTTACAATTCAAATGCAGATTTAACGTTTTTATTTTCATTGCACGAAAGTAAGTGCAAAGTGACGATTCGTTACTTTTTGAGTAACCGTAACGCGTTACTTTTCAGAATTGATAACTTGTAAATGTAACTAAATATACTTTTATCAAGTAACCTTCCCAACCCTGTTACAGGGCCTCTAGTTTTAACGCAATGTTGTGCTTTAAACAGAGGCAGTACGACGAGGAAAATGGGTCTGTTTTATATAACGGAAACGTCGGCGGAAGGCCTTATCCGCACCGTGATCACACGTTACATTATCGGCCCCAATCGGGAGCTAATACCGCGGCCGACGCCAACAGCGGTATCTTCTCGTCTATCAGTAACGGATTCAACAGCTTTGTGACCAATCTCTTTGGATAATCTCGTGAAACGCATATACATACATACACACAGACACATACGCACGCACACACAAATACAATTACTTATTTATTCTATATTATCGTGTAAAATAAAATAAAGCTGTAAGTGTCTGTCCATACTTTATGGATAATCGGTGCAAGCAAATCTTCATCCGATTAATCGGCAAAGTAACTGCCAAAAATGACCTACGTGGTCGCATATTAAGTTCAATATAATTTCTATAAATTGACGTGCTCGTCAGGAATGTAAATTAAAAGGTGTACTTTTTATTGTATTTACAAAGAAACAGAAACACAACTATTTTTATTTCATATAGTCAGTAGTATATGATATAATACCTACGATATCTGAATGTTCCATAGGAGAAATAGTTAATATAATCGTTAATTGATTCCCTCATTCCGTTTTTGGTAATAAACTTGTTATTTATTATTGAGTTTCGTCACTTCTGCTTACGGTAACGGTGCTCGGACACAAGTTGTCAAGTGTAAGGACAGAAGAAAAGGGGGACAAGGAAGATAACGAATATGTTACACGTCGGAATGCGTAATCGTCTGTACAATAGCCGCAATCCATATTGCTGCGGCATACGCTCCAGCGTCCACTTCCGTTAAATACTGAGCTTGTTTTATATAACTGGCTCGCCCTGCCCTGTAAACAGGCGCACAGTAAATAGACTACACCGAGCACAGTTTCGCTACGAAAGAGTGACTAAGCTACAACTGTTGGAAAATTTATGCCATTACAAATTATAATGGATTAAAATACAGAAATATTTTAGACGCCAAAGTATAAACGCATTATCCCATCGTGACTTTCGCTTTTACTCACTTCGGTTTCATATTTCTCGTAGAGTAGCAACCTTCCCACGCTGCCGCCATTATTTTATCATAAAAATCGCCCGGAAAAATCGCTTCCTCTAACAATCTCTCGTACGCCGTACACGCCCCGTGCATTGTATCGATCTAAAAGTATGGATTGAAATTCCTCTTACAATCTTTTAAATACGGATCCTACGTATGTTCCGCAATAAATTTAATTGACTTCGCGACAATACGGCGAACAGACCCTAATACTGCAGAATGCAGTATTGTCGATAATACATTTAACAATACAATTTAGCAAAGTCGACGAATGCAAACCATAGTCCTGTCGCCAGCTCTCGCCTTTCCGTATTTCTCCAAACAATTTAAGCCGCTGCGGAACGCACAATGCCAGACGCGTCGCAAATCCTCCCCTTGCGCGAATGACGTCAGCGTTTTCGCCGCAGTTGTAAAAAATAGACAATACAGAGCTCCGGAAGTTCCGCCCATACGCTCCTCCGCAATATCCGCCATTTCCGCTAATAGCGCCGCCGGATGCGACAAGGATAAGCTATCTAAATTGCTCAGAATACCTGCGGACACGTAAAAGTTAGTAAACCCGGTTGGAAATTAAGAGACACACGTGTTACCGCGTACCGTCGGCAAATCGTTTCAACGTCGATCCGCAGTCTCCGTCTCCGCAACCGCGGTCCAGCCCGTTGAGATATGCCTCTTTCTCGACAATGGCGGCACAGGCGTCCCGCAAACACGACTCGATCAGCCGCTGATCGCGCGCGTTTAACGATATTCCGATTTTCCCCATTTTTCTCTTCTCCGCATCTTTCGACGGGACGCTCGTTAGGGCCGAAGAAATGCTATAGGCGCAACCTGGCCAGCAAGGTGCCGTCGTTTCTTCGTCGAGACACTCGACCAACACGTCCCCGTGGCTTTCGGTCAACTTGAGCAGACTTACGTGTATCCCGACGCTGTTTAAGGATGTCATTAAAATACCGGAATAGACGCGAACAGGCTGTATACCCAGGCCTTCTGCACCGAGAGAAACGTGAGACCATTACGAGTGATCACGAGTGCAGCAGATAAAAGTGAAAAGTGGCTAGTCGAGCGAAAAATTCACGGCAGTCATACATGTTAATTGTTTGATGAGAGAAATTCGCCAAAAAAGTAGACGTCAGTGGACAATGGAAATTGAAAGGCCTCCAAATTTATAGCTTTTTTTTTCCTTAAAGACGACGCGAAAGAGAGAGAAAAGATCGATTCGTCGTTTAATAAGCAGCTTACTCTCTGAGAGTCAATCAGGGGATTGCCATTGAAAACGGTGACTAGTCGCTGGTTTACAGTGAAAGTATAATACAGCACTGCAATTTTCAGTGGTATACTTGCAACTGCCAATCGGTGACTACATTCGCTGTTTTCGGTGATAACTCGCTGATTAACTTTTAGAGAGTATAATTCGTTACATGAAGAAGACGACAATGAAATACTCACGGAGCTGATTTACCACCTCGTGGACGACGATTCCCTGCTCCAATTGACTTAGAGCGCCGAAATTGTTGACTATAACCGCGACCGAGTCATTAGCGGACAAAGATAAGGCCTCGCAAATGCGTTTCAGCATTAACGTCACCAGCTCGGATGCGGTCCTGAGCTTAATTCTCTCGTATCCTGCTTCCCCGTGCACCCCCATCCCACACTCTATCTCATCCTGTGCAAGCTCGAACATCAGACCTTGACCTGCATTCAATATTCCCTCACAATCAGAGTGGCACACCGAGCGATTCTAACAATAAATCGCAATTCTAAACCGCAGGTGATTTCTTTGGACAATATAGAACTGACTTTTTCCGCTCGGCGGGAACTCGTTAAAACTCGCTCGAAGAAAATTTAGTTAACTATTATCTAACAAAAGTATGTGCATCTATTTTGTAAATACAGAGGAAAGTCCCCTAATATAAGATAGCAGGGTGTTAATTAATAGGCATCTATTGGTTTCATCGTTAATTTGTTGCCCTCGGGATGAAATCTGTTTAGCGGGAAATTCATTGTTAGATCGGGCAATCATTGTGAATAAAGATTTGCGATGAAATATTGATGCTGAAACCTGCTATCTCGCAATAGAGGACTTTCCTCTACCAAATGTTAGGAAAAGTGGCTGGACGACAATGATAAAGGAACAGACATTGTACGGATTCTGATGATCTATCGGGTGGGGGAGAGCAGCTGCGCGCCATATAGAAGCATTATGCGCATAACAGCACGTGTATGTAATTAACGCGATTATACGGCGCAAACTGTAACGGTAACTTATGAGCCCCGATTGTCGCGTACCTGGCACAGCGCACGCGGACAGCCCGATTCCGTAGGTCGCGGTGCTTTGTGATACGCGCCGCGCGATTTCCGCTACCTCGCACAGAGGTAAGCCCTTCTCGGCGAGAGCACCCGCGATTTTGATAACGAATAGCATGCCCACCAGTCCGCGCTTGCCGGCAACGCTCCGCTCGTTTTCGGGAATGCTGCAGTCGTCGTCGACGATCACCTCCTCCACCTGCTCTCGAGATGTAACTTTCAAATATTTCTCATAATAGAGGACTTTCCTCTATATATTGGTAGTGACCGTGCAAATTTTCTATTTTACAACTAGTGACATATTGAATAAAATTAGCCATTGAATAACGATGCAAAACTTTCGACCGACAAGATCGTCAAGCTTGGAATACTTGACATATTTGATATATAATTTTTTTTCTCCATTTTAAGTGCTGAAGTTAAACTTCAATTAGGCGCGAGCATATTTGACAAAGTAAAAATCTGTTAACAGCTTTTGTTCATTTTACCATAACACCCGTTTGTCGCGCCTTCTCGATCGCTATACCAAAATTCAGGCAATCCCCCGTGTAATTAGGCACCACGACCATAATGCCAACTAAAATAACATAACAACAAGATGTTATAATGAAGAATCTGTTATATTTTACAATAAAAAGTATGTAGAGAGGAAAGACCTTTGTTGTTCTCTGCGATGCACCGAAGAGCGTACGTGATATGAGTAGATGGCGGTGCCGCAAAGATAGAACCCGCTATAGAAGCTGTCAACATGCCACTGCCAACAAAGCCTACACGGAAAAAAAAGTCTCGTGCACTAGACTTTCGTCCTATCGAATTTATTAACGAAATATCAAATATTCAATTTTAATTTTACTTCAGAAAGAAGCTTCTATTTATCTTGTCTAAAAAGGAGCGAACGAGAGCTTGTTCTGATTGAGATGTTCAATTGACAATTAATGTAATAATAAGGGCCAGTTTCACAAACGTCGGTTAACTGCTAACCGAAGGTTAACTGATCCTCTGTCTCTTCTTAGAGAACAAGATAGAAAAAGATAGGGCGTTGACTGAACTCTGGTTAACAGCTAACCAACGTTTGTGAAACTGGCCCTAAATGAAAGATATGTATGACGTAGACACTAATTACCTGCAGCAAACGGTTCGTGTCCACTACCGCCGCCGCAGACCAAGGCTACTTTATTTCGGCGATCCCTATGCTAAAGTATATAAATTGCATTTGGAGAAATGTATTATTTACAAAGAAATCATCACAAATGACTATTTGATCTAATGGCATATTAAATAAGATTAGTACATTAAGTAACAGTACGAGCTTTCGAATGACAAGATCGTCAAACTTGGAAAACTTGAAAAATTCGACATACAATGTTTTTCTCTTTGGTATTCTTATTAATTTGAACTTCAAATCAACTAGTGCTTAAATATTTAAACTAGCGCGAGTACATTTTACAATACAAAAACTTTTATTCTTATAAATAAAAGTCGACAGAGCTAGAGAAATTTGTATTATTTCTGGGAAAGAAAACTGCTCCAGATACCGAACGCTTTATAAACGTATCTGTCATTGACCCTTTCATGGTCACTCGAACATACAATCCCATCTATAAAATTTAAAAAAACTCCACGCAATTTAGCATGCATTATACTGTTGAAACGTTATATCAACAAAAGGTTAATGATAAAAAATTAATTTGGCCATGAAAAAGCTAAGTACTACTGCGAATAAAAGAGTATACATATATACGTACGTCTGGCGACAGTACCACTCTGTGCGACACGTGATACTCTAATTGCGGATACGTATAGGATAATCCCGACAGAGCCTCGGACACGGCATCGTCCAACGAGTTAATCAAATTCTTCGACATCGCCATCGTGAGTCACAGTCAGATGGAGAACACCAACGTTGAATCTCACGTCGGACGAACCGAGATAAATTTCAACGAGATCCGAGATCGAATAATCTCTGCCCGGGTTATCGGAAAGCTCGTGTGACGTCTCACGTATTTTGATAACTGAGGTCTTTGAATTGCAGTCGCAGCGGATGGAATTGACGTTACATTCAATTCTTCGTTCACTCGTGCTTGGTCGGAACGCGTCCAGCCGCAAAGTGACTGATTTATGTTTCTCGCACGTATGAATGTACTATGTATGTACGACTCAAACGTCCGCACTTTTACAATCGTTACTTGAAAATAGAGTTTGAGACACAGCTAGTTCAATCATCGTCTCTTGATTGGAAGACCAACTGAGAGAGTGAGTGGGATTATTTAGCTAAAATGAACAAGATTTCACAATTATATTCAACGAGGCTGAATTAAACTTGAGACATGACATATCAAATTGCAAATGGAATTGTATTCGGAATTCTAACATGAGTTATAAATCATTTGAAATGGGTTTAAGAAATATAAAAATGTTTATTATTTTTTAATATGAATCCAATAACAATGCTAGATATATGTAAATCGTTTTACTGTCAGATTATTTCGAGTCTATCTCTAAAAGAATACATTGTGTACAGCGAGTATAGACCTTAGACATCTTCTTTTACTTTTCATGCTATCTTTATTATATGTATATTAATCCATGCGTTTTAAATAGTAAAAATTTTTTTTTCGACAATTTCAAACCGCTCCAGCATCCCCTTGTGTACAATAATAAGTATAATAAATTTATAGCAATTGAAAAGTTTGCATCTGTAGTCGATAATATCAATATTCTTCTCCGGGCCGTTATTTGCCCAGGTTTGATAATTTTTAATAGTATTTCGTCGATGCGTATGCAGTATATATATTCTTTTATTGTTAATCAAACGATGTGATTACCAATAATGCCGATGATCGTATTAGTAGTAATTAACGCGAGAATCATTGTGATACTTTATCGTCCTAATTCGATATTACAGCCAAATGTTTCAATCGCTAAGCCCTCTTGACACTCGCAAATTTCACATATTCACCACTGTAAAATGTTCTTTTCTAAATAACGTCCTATCAAGCATCAAGACCACAAATAACATGAAAGAAATTCGTATCAAGAGTCTTGCCACCTTGTGGTTGAAAGTTAATAATTTAATGGCGAATATTAGACTTAATCCGATGTATTTTGGACAAATGACATAACGCTGAGCGCATTATTGATGCTCCTACTATTTATTATTATATATGTTCAAATATGATAAACATGTAACAACTGCTAATACAAGTTGTACTTAAGCTACTCTTATTTACAGTAGATTAAAACTATTTGTAAAAGACAAACTAGATTACATAGAGAATAAGATCTAAATGAAATTTAAGACATGTCTCAATAGGAATAGCTTCGGCATAAATAGTATATCGCGTTAACATATCGATTAGGTGACAAGTAATGTACAAAGATTATGTCAGAATGGGGTATCGCATTTGCTACGGACGATCAGCGCAAATGTCTTGTGCGCACGGCATTTGGTGTTGTACATTATACACGGGAGTGCGCGTGTGAAGGAGGAAAAGAAACCATTGAGCATAGTCCTTATACATCTTGTCTCTTATCTCTTACGGTCGTTAGATCCACTGCGACGAGAACGAGATCGACGGCTGTGGCTGCCACTGCGGGAACGTTTTGATCTGAAACATATCGGAAACGTGAGACAATAGACACGTCCGCACTCAGCTGAATTTTACGAGCTTCAATTCGCTCAAATTTGAAAGAGGAACGCGAAAATGATTGACCACTCATCGTTCAATCATCTACGATTAGAAATGTGAAATCCACAAACCTTCTTCCACGACTGCGACTGCGAGATCGTGACTTTCTCCTGCCGCCGTCCCTGCGTTCCCGGTCCCGATCACGCTCGCGATCGCGGTCACGATCACGATCGCGATCACGCTCGCGGTCACGGTCGCGATCGCGATCACGGTCACGGTCTCGATCGCGGTCACGGTCGCGGTCGCGATCTCTGTCGCGGTCGCGGTCCCTGTAGCCCAATCCTCCGCGGTTCCTGTCCCTATCCCGGTCTTTGTCACGGTCCTCCCTGTCTCTGTCCCGTCTTCTGTCCATCAGAGACTCGCGCTTCTCCTTACGCCTCTCCTCGACGGTCTTTTGAAGCTCGGCGAGTTTCTCGCGGATTTTGATAAAGCCGAGATGCAGCTTCCCACCAAAGTGATCCGCCAGTCGTCTGTCATTGTCGTGTATGCCGAGATACGCGCTGCAAACTTCGCACACTCTCAGCTTCTGCTGCTGATAACTCGACGCCGGCATGCTGTTTCGATACTCCTGTTCCGCTTCGTTCTTCTTTTTGCGCAGCTCGTCGATCTCGCCCATCAGCTTCATCGACTCCTCGACAAAGCCCTCCTCGCCGAGCTGCTCGGCCTTGGCTAGTTTCTTACCGATCTCCTCGGCGAGCACGTGGACGTTGTTCGCCTTCGCCGCCACCTCTGCGCTCAGTTCCTCCTGCGTCTCCGCCAGTCGCTGCTTGGCTTGCTCTGTACGGCGGTCGCAGTCGGCGATGAAGTTCTGGAGGTGCTCCATCGCCTGGAAATTCGAGAAAGACGCGTCAGAATCTCAATAGAAATTCTAGAACTTGTCGCAAATCGCCGAATGCAAATTGTCAAGGAACTTCGTTCAATTGAAAAAAGAAAAACACTTATCGGCAGGCGAATCTATTGCGAGGACAACTGCAAGTTCAATGCGATAAGATTAATACTCACATCAATGTCATAGAAGTGATCTTTCTTCTTTTGCGCCGCCTCGTAGTCGGCCCGTAGGGCCAAGTCGTGAATCTGGGGGCATTCTCCCAGGTCCATGCGCTACGATTTACAAATCAAATCATGATTAGATTCACGGTCCCTCCGATCGCACGCGGGCCTTATCGATTCTATGCGTTATACGAGTTAGAGACCCTTCCCAACATTGCGTATTTACGAGATACATCTTACTTGACAAGAATATAACGTACTTGGTCGCGGTGCCGCGACTGGAAAATAGCACGAATCGATAATCTAGGAGAGAGACAGAGATGATACGACAAAAATTCTGAGCTTATGTCGCCTGTATCCGTAGGATAAGACGGTCCAATAGGTTCATCTTTTTCTTATCTTTTTTTTTCGTTCTTTTCATTTTCTCTTTACGTGAACTCACGGAAACGCGAGTTCGTCTTCCTGCACGGGCTAGGATAGAGCGTACAATAACGAAGCGATCGAGATCGCCGAGCGATCTAGTATCGCGCATATAAAAGTAGAAATGCAGTTTGTATTGATAAATAGTTTGTTGTTTTCACTTACAGGGTGGCAACAGTTCTCCGCCTGACACGAGAATGCGATGGCAATGAAGCTATAATCAGCACACACCTTAAGTTTCATAATGTTCATTCTTTTTCTACGAAAGAGAACTTACAGCCTATAATGGTTTAATATACTATTTTACGTACGGCACGAATCGTGTCTTACGTTGGCTGCTAGACGAATTTTTTTCTTTAGAAAAAAAAAACGGATTCAATACGTACACATCCAATGGTCGAAGGAAATTTTTCTAATGGAACTCTGGCGCTTGTTGTACTAATCCGCCTAATCACACGTCTCTCTGCGTCATGCCACCACTCATATTTTCTCTTGCCGAGACACGTTTGGATGTTGCAAATTGCCAAAGGTATCTGATAAATACCGCGCGAGCCCGAGGAACCGCGCCAAAACCACGTCTCCTTGATCGCCGCGATCGTACTTAAGGTCCGCGTCCCGTGCAATCGAGAGATTTACATTCCACACCGATCACGAAGTCTAAACCGACCCGCGCAGCGGCAACTGCGACGAAGAGGATCGAGCGAAACGAGCGTTAAATTTATTTTTCCTCGTTTTTCTTTCAACTCTTAGACCGGCATCGAGAAGGGCGAATCCACCCCCACCCACCCTTTCCCTCCTGAGATGCGAAACTCTCGCGCGAGGAGAGACAGCGAAACAGCTACAGCGAACGCGTCGTATGGTACTTGGCAATTCGCAAACTCTTTTACTTACAGATCACTGCTTCATTTCCTGCACCCATACCTCCACAGGATGATATATATTCTCTCAACACACATTCTCAAAGTAAACTTCTCATTCCTACCTGCCGTAAACGGCATTATTAGTAAGAAGCGACATTAAGACATCGTCTCATGAATCAGCATGACGCTACTCACCGACTCACTGTTTACAGGCCTTTTCGGGGGGGATCTGGGAATTTATTCTTTCGGCATATCGCTCAGCCTCACCACCGTATGCGGAAAAAAAAGCGGTAGAGGGGCTGAGGTAAACCGCCCGCCTTTACACGTCTCTCGTGTCGAATTAATAGATATATATAGATATATATAGATATAGATATGCATATATATATGTATATCTAGCACTTGAATTATGGTAAAGGTAAATCAAATTGTAGGTGTAATACGTACGTCCTCTTCTCGTTTTCAGTACTTACAGTAACGCGCGTGTGAGAGTGACAAGTACAACACGGACATATGAGCGGACAATACTCGCAACAATATTGTACAATGGATCTGATTGGAATTGCTTTTTCCAGAGACTCTGGAAATAGAACTGTAGTTACGTTGACATTAGTGGATCTGCATACCAGCATACTTCTCGTTCGAGCGATTGCCGTTAGTATTTTTCGTTACGTTTTTTGTTTCTCTCTCTCGTTTAAATATCTCTTTCTGCCATCGGTTTGCTTTCGGTATCTTTCAGTGGCACTTAATTTCCCGCTTGTGGCAACCGTATCGCGAGATCCTCAGGAGTGTTTGCTGTCTCCCGCCGTTAAGTTTCAATGTGTCCTCACGTTGCAGGTCGAGGGGGAAACCGCTGACCAAAATCTTGTACACCAATGCCCACTAATACCCAGTGGGGATTACTTTATCTTATATCTTATTTTACCTGTAGAATGTCCCAGCATGGCCTAATGCCCAAAAGAATGCCCAGGAACACCGCAAATCTGTACACCACAATGCCCTCGGCGGTTTCCCCCTCGTTGTAGGTACATCGCGACGACAACACGATCCGATCCGATCTAAATGATCTGTATTCCGCGTACAAATGGTTACATTCTATTCGTATAATTGTACTTTCTAATTGTGTACACTGTTACGTTCTAAAAGCGTCAAGTCGGTTGAAATTTATTTATACGTTAAAAAGTAGAGTTGCTAGCATCCGAGCGACTGCTTTATATTTGTCAGTTCCACCGGAATTGCACTTTATCCGGGATGTGAATCTGAATACAATCTAGGCCGATCGAGAATAAAAGCGGTACCGAGAACGGAATGAAGTACATTCCATTTACATCATCCTTACTCGAGCTATGTAGCTATATACCCGGGAATCTAATTAAAATCCTCGAGGAGAGAGCGCGAGGGACGCAGAAATGAATAACACCGTTCATGCCGGGAGAAAAGAAAGTAAATTATATGCAGGGATAATAAATTCCACCCGAGAGATGGAATTAATTGCCAACTTCGGACTCCTCTTACCCACTTCTGTGATAAGGGCGATTGTTCTGTAAATCCGATAAGAAAACTTTGTAACCCCCCCGGCCTTTTCGAGAGCCTTCGGCAACAGTCGTGCCAGCGACGGGATGCAAGAGGCGCGGCTACTTATGTAAAACAAATTCCGATACCCGCTGATGACATTGAGTGTTGACCGACTAAAGATTGAAAAGCAACTGCTCGCTTAGAGCGAGCGCTGGCATTTCCCGTGTAAAGAAACTTTCCTACGTTAGTAGCTGCCTGAGAGACAGAGAGATAGACACAGAAACAGGGAGAGAAAGGGGGAAGGGGGCGCATAGTGGGGCGAAACTTTTAAAATGTCTGTCACGCAGACTATAATGAACTTATAATAGAAATAGCTTGACGTTATTATTCCAGTCGGCGATGAGGCACATATATCGGAACATCGATCTTGTTGTAAAGTCGAGGCACACCGAGAAACCCGATGAGGGGCGGCTCAGGCAGCCACGTGTAGGAGAACACGAGATAGCAAACACCCCTGTGTGACCAATTCGCACAAGGCGACACTGAAATGCGCGTAGCAGTGCTCAGAGAATTTATAGTTACAGTTGGCCTATGTATCAACCGTGTATGCCGTAACGGATAAATGTGTTGCTCGATCGACCGCATATATGCAGGACGTGCGATTGCGTCTTCATCTCAAGTCACCACAGTCACCCGACGTCACTGCGATGGGGATTGCAGTATTCTCGGTACATGCTAGATGTGTACATGGTCTAGAGCAGGACTCTAGGGTAAGGCGACCAGATTGGGCTCAGATACCAAATGCGGATCAATAATTTGACGAGTCGCTAATGAGCGACGTAAAAGCACGTCGATGCCTCTTATGACATCGACAATACAGCATAAAGTTGTAAATATATAAAAGAGCAAAATTTAAGTGAATTACTTCAAAATGTCATCAGCGACTCGTCAAATTCTTTATCCGCGTTTGGTATCTGACCCAAATTTGGTCACCTTACCCTATTTCGCTCAGTTACAGAACAAAAATCAGACGAAAACCTTTCAAGGCGGGCAGGGGCTCTCTGGCTTTTCGCCTGGAAAACTCTTCAGCCGACTGTTTTTCTTTCACCGAGCGAAACAGCCCCGGTTCTACCCTACACGGATCCGCAACGCGTTCCCGGGGAAGAGAACAGGCAAGGCTGCTTTCCGCGGCCTGGCAGAAGAACGTGGAATGAACGTGGGCGTGCGATATTCTCTCGCGCTCCCATAATTTCCGGGTCCTGCAGCGCCAAGATGCATTGGCTGTTCCGAGTCCCGAGGATCCGCGTGTTGCCTTTCTACACCTAATGACGATCCTGCTTGTGGCTCATCCGAGTGGAGGAGTTACGCGAGCATTTTATGATTTTCACACGATTTCACTAGGAATTTTTACCGTATTCTTATATACTCTTTGTGATCTTTAATAATCCACTGAGTGACTTTTAGAGAGTAGAAATGACACCCGAGTCCACAAAGGATCTCGATACGACGGTTTCCGTCCCTCTATCTACTCACTCGGACGAGCCACAATATCATCCTTAGGTGTCGAACGGGAACGTATGGGTGTGCGATTAAAACGCCTGCCTCGTGTTGCACTTCGACGGTGAATCGATCGCAATCAATTCCTGCGGTATCGTGTAATCGGGTAAGTAGGGCGAAACGCTTCCCCTCCGGCGCTTATCCCTTATTTAAGTTCGCATGTTAGGTCCTACAAAGGGCGGATTCTTACGTTCTACGGACACTTAACGCCTACGTGTGATGAACTGAGCACACCGATTGGCACAGGTGAAGAGGAACAAGCGCTAAGAACGAATCAAGTAAACGTTCGTCCCGTTGTGTACGGATCTATTCTCCGTAAAATTCGTCCAAGTTCTACGGGCGAGTGATGACTCGTGAAAGAAAAAGGAAAAAAAAATGAAACAAAATGCTCTTCAGCTTCTACATTCGCGACGGCTAATCTCGGTATTCTACGTACATTCCTCTACTCGACTGTATACCTTTGTGCAATGCGAAACGACGTTTCTAATTGTGTAACGTGTGCGCACGGCACGGCGCTAAACAGGTCAGTGTGCACACGAGTTTACGACCGTGGCAGTAAAGCGGAATACCGACGCGACCTTCCATTATCAATTTATCGCCCTTTACACCGTTGAAACGGATCTGACACGGTGGGCAGCGGCAAACAGCCCGTGGAGAGGTAACGTGGCAATCGTGGGCGAGCGTACTTCAAGTTCTTTGCAATCAGATTGTATAATAAAACGTACGGCAAAGGGCCGCGTGTTAAATTCGAAATTCTGTTAAGACGGAAAAAGGCGGCTTTGTGCCCCCGAGAGATAATCTCATTTTATTATTCTATACGTAAGTCTGCCCGCTTAGCTTACTCTCTAAAGTTTTTGGAGTGAAAACATAACTAGTAGGTCCCCATAGAACATGCATGTCTTAAAGATGTCTTTTAGACATGCATGTTCTCTGGGTCCACTCTCTGTCGGTCCCATAGATATAATATATCTAGACCCGGGGAAAAACCGCTTACCAAAATCTTGTATACCAATGCCCACTAATGCCCAGTGGACATTACGTTATCTTATCTCATTTTATCTTATTTATTTTGTTTAATCTTATTTTATCTTTACAATGCCCAAACTAATGTCCAAAAAATGCCTAGTAATGTCGCAAAGCTGTGCACCACGGTGCCCTCAGCGGTTTCCCCCTCGAGCTAGACCGAGCGTTTGTCTTTATTTGAGCAGTGGGAGCAGAGGTTCACGTAGAAAGGGGGAAACTTTGTTTTGTGTTATTTCGTTCTCTCGAAGTTCGCATGCGAACGAGAAAGAACGAAATAACACAAAACAGAGTTTGTCCTTTTCTACGTGAACCTCTACCCTCATTGTTCAATGCTCGATCTAGCCACACTACCGCACATACAACTCTTCTCTCATTGGTCTGCCCAGAACAAGGTCGGATACGCAGAAGAGATTGACGCAAAACGAAACGCATGACGGAGTGGACCTACAATGAATGATATTCGCTCTGTTGGAATAAATATTCACTCCAATAGAGGGAATATTTCACTTCGCTGTAGTATTTTTACTCCAAAAATTAGAGAGAGTACAATTAGTTTCACATTTATGCTCCTTCGGAGCAGCAATACCATTTGTATTCGTGCACACAGACTGTCTGGTGACCATTACGGTTGAGTGTGAGTATGCATATGTAAAAATTAATTGAATATTCAATTGTGTGCGTTACAGGCATTGTAGGAGAATTGTGATCACACGATTCCATTACGCTGTACTCAATAATGACTCTGCTATTTGTAATATCTGTTAATGCAATACCAACGACACGGTAAAATTGTTTTTACCGAGAGATTCCGCTGAGAGATATCTAAAGACATACGTGTTCGACGATCAATTTAAATGTATTAAAAACCAAGTCGCAGAACAAAATTGGTAAAAAAAAGAAAAATCTCAGTGGAATTGTCTCTCTTCGTGTTCACACCATCGTATACTGATTTTATTTTAGCCAACAATGAGGCTGACGCATGGCTCCGGACTCGATACCGACCAGCGTCCCGTAAATGCCGCGTGTCGAGAGGTTGATTGGAAAATTAAAGGTGCGAAGGAGCGAAGTGACAACGATAATCCGTTTCGAGAACCCATATCGTCAATCGAACAGATAATGTATCGACTAGGAGAGCAGATTGAGCAATAGGTGGTGCAATCAGCATAAACAGAATTTACGAAATGGCCAAATGAATGCGAGGGGAGATAAAAGAACAACTCTATCCCTTTACTTTCTCCCTTTGCATCGGAATTGAATATCGACAAAACCCGGTATGCGTGTATGTTCATGTACGTGTATGTGTGTGTGTGTTTGTGTGTGTGTGTTTGTGTGTGTGTGTGTGTGTGTGCGTGTGTGTGTACATACAGGGTGCATTAATTTTATTCTCTGCGCATAGTGCCAACGGTGTGTCATTCGTTTGAATTCGCTGCATCGCGGAATATTATACTCACCGTCGACGAGAGAATTTCATGGGGGCAGCAGGCCAGCAAAAAACTCTTGCAGACTTTCGAGTCGGAGTATTTCACTTGAAATTTGTTATTTTCACCTGCGAACAAGCAAACGAAGAATTATTCGGAGGTTCGTCCTCGAGTGCACGAGGGGGTTGGGGCCTGCGGTCAGGCTGCCGTTTCAAATGTTTCCAAGTATTTTTCTTTTCCTTTCTCCCGTAAAAGACAGAAGGAGAAGAGAAGCACTTGGAAGCATACGTAGCGGCGGCTTGACCGCAGGGTTGCTACATTGTTAACACAAGTATGGCCGCGCTCTCTACTCTCCGATTCGGGGCCCCCCGCACTTTCGGTCACCGCCGCACTCACTTCTCGCGGACCGCGTGCCGCCGTAACGACGACGGACGCGGAATCACGTTATGTACCATTTCGTCCTGTGCCCATTAACTGGTCGAGCATGGCTCGCATTTGATCGTGCGCCGTCATTTCTCGTCTAGGTCGGGTGTCTACAACCTCTCAGAGACACGCAGCTCAAGCGAATCGTACGGCCACGCCATCCGAGTGCATGAGCACACATACACGTACGCGCGCTCACCTTCGCTCGATCGCCGCGCCGCCACCGCGTACCGTCGCGATCGCGTTCTCATGGCGCGATGGCTGTCCGGCGAACCGATTGGCGGGAGTTTTGGATGGCGCGGCTCGTCCAATAGGGTCGTTGGCGAGCGCGAGGTGGATATACATTTACGAACAAACACCGAACGAGAATAAAAGTTTGTAATTCTCGGAATTTCAATTCTCGGAAATGCTGAAAAACTCTTGGAACTTTAGACAGTGCCACCTCTTCGCCGATCATGTTCTCCTGATACTTTGTCAGTTTTCAGGATTCTCGATTTTTGCGATTTAAAGTTTTTAATTCTCGGGATTCCAATTCTTTGGAAATTCAAATAGTGCCACCTCTTTCCTGATCATGTTGTCCTAATACTTTATCAGTTTTTAAAATCCCGATTTTCGCGATTTCAAGTTTGAAATTCTCGGAATTCCAATTCGTGAAATTTCAAACAGTGCCACCTCTTTGCTCATCATGTTCTCCTGGTACTTTTCCAGTTTCTGAGATTCTCGATTTTCACGATGTGCTCTGTCCAGGTATTCCTACGTCCATGCAACAAAGATTTGCTGTCCTTGTTCGTTTCATAGTTGTGCTCAGCTGTAGTCGTCGCGAAACGATTCCGTCCTCCGATTGGCCGTCGGATAGGGAATTGACGTCACGAATCTTTCGAGCGTCGCGTCGGCCATTTTGTCGGCAGAAGGGGACAGGAAATTTTTAATGGATTGTAATAGACGTATTACGAATCGATCGCGGCCGTCTGGACGCGATCGCATTGATTTTTCTCACTCGCGACACCGCAACATTTTACCGAGGCACTTGAAATAAAGATTGATTCTCGGGAAAAACGAGGTAAACACCTCCTTTACACCATTTCCCATCACTTGTTATTCCCTTCGTGAGCGAAAATGTTGATGTAATAACGAAAATCACAAAGATACAGTGCATTTGCGATTCTTTCAGGACTCTGATAATCGATATGAGAGGAGAGAGCGCGAGGATTTACGCCGACAAAGTTCCAACGGTATTTAAACCAGGGGGTGCTCGGCGACTTCCAGCACGATGCAGTGCAATGACCGGCGGCCCCCCTCGAGTTTAAATCAAATTATACACTTCCGTGTACGATATTCGACGTCAAAACTTATCTACACTTTCGCGACTGTTATAATCGCAACATTTCCGGTAAATGCAAATTTTTCTCTAAATTGCAAAATATTCATACCATAATATCCACATATAATTAAGTCGGGTGTTTTTTTCTAATAAACTTTCTCCATCTCCCTCTTTTGCATCAAGTATAAAATTGTGATACAAAACGAATAAAACATAAATGTCTTTAATTCTTTTCGCAATTTTACGTACATGTTTGTTATTTTGCAATTTGCAGTTTTTTAACTACGGCGCGCGGCCGACGTTTCCGTTTGTCCTTTCGTAAGAGCCGGTTTTTCCAATCTCTTGGTAAACTAACTAATAGTTAAATTATATGTCTATCTTTGTCTAATTTGAAGGAAAAACAAAGACGTGTATATGATTTAACTATCAGTCAACTTACCAAGAGATTGGAACAACTGGCCTTAAGTCGAGCAAAATGTGAACCGCGGTTAGCGTGTTGCATAATAGTTTCCGAAAATTTCTCAAGCCGAGCTAAGCGACGGTCGCGAGGCCCGTGCAGAAACCGCATGCAGAAAAGAGAGACCGTGCAACCGGTAGCGGAGGTGGTGGCGACGATGCTGGCGGTGGTAGAGGTACCAGACTCCGCGCTCTCGATCGTGACCTGAGAGCGAGCGAGCGAATACGGCGAGCGAATGTGAAAGCGAGACCGAGGGATTAACCAGCGCGGAGGAGGAGGAGGAGGAGGAGGAGGAAAGACCTCGCGGTACCGCGAGCGAAAGCAAGACGAGGACGAAGGAAGAAGACGAAGTAGTAGGTGGATGAAGAGGAGGTGATGGCGGTGGAGGAGGAGAGATGGAGGAGGAGGTGAAAAAGAAGAAGGAGGAGGAGGAGGTGGCGGCGACGTTGGTGGTGGTAGGAGAACCAGCCTCCGCCAGTCCATCCACGTGTTCAGTGTAGTTGCGCGTTATGACCCGGATGTTAGATCGTAGCCGCAGTTTCGCGAGAACCTGCCGACCCGGATGTCCTCCCGCTCGTTGTCCACCAGTGACCGACCACTGATGTCTTCCTGGCCACCGAAATATGTTCAATCGGTAAGTTACGGCCGTCCCCAGCGTCCTCCCCGTCGTCGTCGTCGTCGTCGTCGTCGTCGTCGTCGCTGAAATTGTCACCCCGTACTTCGGCGAGAACTACCGACTCCTCTGAATGCACGACGCGATGCGTCGTGTTAAGTCTCACTCCGAAGTCCTCTGCGTTACTCTCCGGCTGGATGAAACCTAGTAAAAATGACGATAATCGCGAGAGATTGATTGGAGAACCGATCGCCGATCCTCGCGCCGATTCAGGGGTGAGCGCACCCTCGCGCGAACGCTCGCCGCCGAGACGCACACGGGCGGGCGTCCCGGAGGACTCGGGGCAATCCTCGCTGAAGTACGAGATGCACACGATTTTCGGGATGTTGAAGTGGACAGTGGGTGGCCACCAGCGATCTGTCGCGATACCGGGACGAATGCACGTGTCACACACGCGTGCCGCGGCACTTGACGGTAACATCAGCGTGTGCTTGAAGGATAGATGCGAGCAAGTCTACGAAAGGCGCCAGCAAACTTCGAAGGGACCTGATAAACGCCGAAATCGCGAATCTACGTGACTTACTGCCATTACCGCCCTCGACACGCCAGAGGCTTTCCCAGCTGCAGCTTATGGCCTTGGTCTGCGTGTTCCTGCGAAAAGCCAACTACTTTCAGCAAGGTACGGCGAGCTTGTTCGCGTCTTTAAATCTTAAAGCTCTCTCCCTTCTTACGCGTCCTCAAGTTCTTACGCGAGCGAAGTCCCTTTGCTCGGCAAGTTTTTATACGAAAAAAGTAGTTGTTATGAGATTCGACTTGTAATGTCGGAAGCGACGCGCGAAATATTTATTGCCGAGAGTCTCTCAAAGTTCTAAGTCGCAATGGAAAAACGTTGGAATACTAATAGCCACCCGTTAAATATTTCACTTTTTTTTTTACTTTTTAATATCTGTTGTAAGAAAAAGTTTTTGATTAAATGTTGAAACGTTTACTAGATAGATAATAATTAACAAAGACAGTCGGTTAAATATTTACGTTGGACATCAACTTGATAGCAATTTCGGGATAACTATTTTTTCGAGAATCGTCAAGTTATTCAAAGGTTCGGCTTACTTGCCGTTTAACAGCGGAGAAATCGCGATTCGATACGTGCGTCGCGTCACACCGAGTTACAACTTGTTACCATAAAATAAAGAACGGTGATAAAGCGAGTCCATCGGCGTATCGCGATTACTATATCTTTACAGTAATTCCCATCCATCGACCCGAGACTTCAATGCCGGCAAGCGCTCGTGCCATGCAATTCCCCGCGTCTGTACTCTGATATTTCAGCGAGCGCACTGGTACTCGGCGTGCTATGCCGTACGTAATGATCGGGATGCATTGTACAGACCATCAAACACGCCAAATTGATATTACTGTTGCCTAAGGATTATTAATAAGTTCCCATCAAACGTAAAAAGATGCTCTAAGCCTTAAGAGTACTCTCGATTAAAAACGAGGCACAAGTAACAAATTTAATAATCTTACGAATCTTACGATCGTTGTTAACAATAATCTGCCTCTTTTGTTACTTTAAAAAGATGTGCGCAAGAGACTAAAATCACGAAATCATTGAAATTATGCCTTAAATGAAGAATTTTTGGAAAATCATCTCAATAATGCCACGTGAGAAAATTTACTATTAATTTCAATAAGGATTGCTCCATGGGAGAGAAAGAGAAAAATGATTGAAAAACTGTTGAGTAGAATTGAAAAATCTTATTTAAAATTCCCCGGAATTGAGAATGATTGAACCTCCGTGTGTATTTTGGAATTTTGGTATTGGTTTATCTCAATGAAACGGGAGCAAAACAAAAGACGCAAAATGTTGCCGCTTGATTCACAATTTAATTTCTGTACGGAAAGCGTCCGTTATTAATCAAAGATTCCTGGGTTGCTCTTGCGTTATCGATTAAGTGCTCTAATCCGAGATATTTGCCAAATTTCGAAAATCCACTTTCGGTCTCGCCTCGTCTCGTCGAACGTAATCGGCTGGTGACCCGCTCAAACGATCCGCGCAAAGGAGAATTTCTATTCGGTTGCGGGAGTCAGCCGGGTAACCCGGCTGTAAGAGCTTCTCGTAGACACAGGGAGAGACGGCGGGGAACGCCGGTGGTATCCCGGTGGGTACCAACAACGAGAGAGACTCGCAAGAGAGAGGAGAGGAGAGGAGAGGCGAGGCGAGCGCAAAGCAAAGCGAAGCGAAGCGATGCAAGAAGGCAAGATCGGCCGGCGCGCGTTCAAACTCAGCGGAGTCTAAGCGCGAGTTCCGGGTGATCCGCTGACCTGTCGGCCTTTGCAACAACACTCTCACGCTCCTGTAACCCACACTCCTCCTCCCCGCATCGCGTCCCCCTCTCACTCTATCTCTCTCTTTCTCCCTCTCGCCCTCTTTCTCCCTATCGTTCCTCTGCCGCCCGCCGCAGCTTCCCTCTCTCTCTCGCGCGTTCTTCTTCTCCGTTCTCCTCTCTGCTCCCCTTACCCCCTATCCTTCCCCTTTCTAACCGTCCCTCTCTCTCTCGTTCTCTCCCCCCCCTCCTCTCTCTCTCGCGCTCATTGTCTCGCGGTATCGGGTACTATAGTCCCATGTAGCGCCGTTAGTAAACGCTGCCGTGCTGCATTAGCATACGCATTTTTCCTTACCCTTCTCTTTCCCTCCTTCGTCCTCCGATGCATACCTTTTCTCCCCTTCCCCCCGTTTACTTTTTCGGGGAAGCCCCGACGAGGAGGGTGGCAAGTACGCGGGCAATCGCGTGAAAAAGTGCGAAATTAAAATGAGAGTTTCGCTCTCCCTCTCTCTCTCCT